TACCAATATTTTTTCTTATAAGAGGCCCTTATTTCTTACTTTGCCTAGGGCCCATAAAATGTCAAGAATGGGGCTGGTGATAAGTAGTTGTTTCGTTACCAATTGTGTATTTTAGTGAAAAAATAGATGTACAAAGAAACATTAGAGTATTATTATGTTATTGAAAATATAATAAACAAAAAATAGCGAGATATATGTTTATAAAATGTGAGTATGAGTCGTATATTATTGATAGCGAAAATTAATATATATCGGAGTAAGATAATAGGGAGATATTTCCTAAAAAGAAAGTGTAAAAACTAATTGGGGACAAATAAAAAAAAAAAATGTAAAAATACTCTATAAGATTGTAACTAGAGAACATAAATTTAAGTGGGTGTAGTCAATATTGTACATCATTTGTAAACTCACCCTAAATGATCAAAAGTTATATATCTTGGTGTAAATTAAAGGGTTTTAACCTTTTTGTTGTCAATTTTCAAATAATGACATTTCTAATAAATTTGACATTTTTTTTTTTAGTTCTTTTTATGAAATATATTGTGTAACTTTCAAAATCAAAAAACTGAAAACCACAATGGTGCCGAACAGACCTTTAACTTATGGTTCTTTATAAAGTTGTCAAAATTAGGATTGTACTTTAAATTATGATATTGTACTAGAGAATTTGCACATTCTACCGTACCCTATTGTAAAATTTAAAGTATGGATTACTAAAATGTCATATTTAATTATTAACAATACACACAAACTAATAATTCTAAAATTATTTAAAATGCTAGAATTTCGCAAATTTTAAAATAGTAATCATTGAAATTTTCAAAACATATCGCAAACAAAAACGTACGGAGTGAGTACCATCGAAGGCATCGATAGGTACACCAATGTGGATTTTTGACAAAAGTAAGCTTTTGTAGGAAAATATTTACGAAAGTGGTCTCGTGGCAAAAGTATTTCCCAAACTAAGCTTCTGGGGTGAAACGCTGTCTCGGACAGCGTTTTACCCCCAGTTTTTTATTAAAAAAAAATTCAAGAACTAAAACGCTGTCTGAGACTGCGGTTTATGTATTTGATTTTTTCTCAACCTTCGTATTTCAAATTTTAAATACAAAATACTTTTAAATGAAACGCTGCCTCAGGCAGCGTTTATTATACAAACATAAAGCGCTGTCTGAGGCAGCGTTTTGTTCTGTATAATAAACGCTGCCTCAGGCTGCGTTTCTTGCGGGACTTATAACGAATTTCAGTGGGTTTTCTTCTCAATCTCACGAAAGCAACTTACACTCTCTCTCACTAACTCTCATTCTCACAAACACCGAACCACCGCCCTTGGCAGCAAGTTAAGAGGAAAAGGTCGGCCAAAGTCAAAGCGCATACGCAATGAGATGGATGAGTCTAACCGACCTAGAACTAGATGCAGCCGCTGTCACCAACAAGGTCACAACCGCACAACGTGCCCAGCTAGATCGGCCGGAACATAGGGTTGTTTTTGTTTTTATGTTGTGTTATAGAACAGTAGATTCATGTTGCATAGGATTGTTGACAAAAGGTCTGGACATTTGAAAAACTTGGATCATGTCTATGTTATATTTCGGATTTGGCTACCAATTTTATGACTGTGTCTTGTACTTGTGTTATTCAAGTCAATTTCATAATTTAGTAATTATGTTTTCTTATTGGTTTGGCCATATTGTTTTAAATGAACAGATATCATGGACGGCCACGATAGGACTCCAGGACCTCTTGACCCTTCTGTCCTTACATTGCAGGATAGACATCGGAGCGTTGATATATGGGAGCAGTCGGTAATGTCTCATGTGCCATTTCGTGTACTGATTTATCTTGTTATTGATGTATTATACAGTATTATTTATGGTTTTCAAATTAATTACCAGGTGGATCTACCGGAAATGTTGAAGTGCAGGCACTTGAGGTCTGGGTGGGCTGTCGATCCACGCGTTCTTCAGTACGTCGAGTGGGCTGGATTTGGTGGTATTCATCGGGTGGGCTACAGAGAAATAGATCGAGGGCTTATCACTGCATTAGTTGAGAGATGGAGACAGGAGACGCACTCCTTCCATCTACCGGTGGGAGAGGCGACTGTCACGCTGCGGGATGTCGCGATACTCACGCGCCTTCCCATACATGGGAATGCGGTGACAGGGGGTGGGTTGGTTGACCCCGCAGGTTTAGTAGGTCGGGTTCTAGGGGTTCAGCCAGAGTCGAGCGAGATCAGGGGCACCGCGCTGAGGATAGGTTGGCTACGCGACACTTTTAGTGTCCTACCTCTGCACGCTGACGACGCCACAGTGCAGAGATACACTAGAGCATACTTGTTCCTGCTGATCTCCGGCGTGCTCTTTGGAAATAAGAGCGGAAGCCATCTTCAGATTATTTACCTACAGCTGTTAGACCACGACTGGGATGAGATCCGTGGATACAGTTGGGGTAGTGCTTGTTTGGCGGTTTTGTATCGCCATCTGTGTAGAGCATCCCGCCGTGGAGCAGCTGAGGTCGGAGGTCCTTTGATTGTGCTACAGGTAACCCTCATCATTATCCTTGAGCCTAGTTTCATAATGACTGACGTTACAATACGTAACCCTTTTTTATTTCCAACAGCTATGGGCTTGGGAGCACATCCATGTGGGGAGACCAGGTAGGCCTGTTGTACACCGTCCGGGGCAGCAGGACCAGGACGGTGAGTACGCACCGTATGAAGCTCCCCCGCTTCCTGGACCCGAAGAGGCATACGGTTGTAGGTGGGTGGTTCCTAGACTGACATATGCGCATACAGCGAGAGGTGTTCTGTACTACCGTGACGCCCTCGACCGACTCACGGAAGAACAGGTGAATCTTGCAACAACTTTGTAATCTTTTGTTTATTTTTTATACTGTTTATTAGCATTGCCCTAACCTATTTATGATATTACCTTATTGTAGATGACATGGGATCCCTATGTTGCTGTGTTGGTAGATGCCATGCCGGAACACTTGCTCGAGCACCGTGCTGAGTGGCTTGCCAGGACACCCATGATCTTTGGGACCAACGGTTGGAGTCTGTTGTTGAGGGTCACCTGTTTCAGGGTGTTATGGATCCGCGTGATCCTTACATGGTATGGTACAGGCAGATTACACGCCTTTTCATCAACCCTACCTACACGCCACCGTCCACACACTACCATCCAGCTTATGATGTTATCAGCGGACTTGTGAGTTTATTTAATTTTCTTGGTTTTTTAAATTATTTGAAATTCTATTTCATATTACTAAGACATGGATGATTACTACAGGCCGGGGATATGGGTGCGATGGTTGATGCACTTTCAGATGCCTTAGCAGGCGTACCCACCAGAGCCCAGGTCGAGCGGGTGCGAGATATGGGCACACATAGCTTGCAAAGATTTGGCCATGGCCATCTCGTCCACCCGAGGGACGATCATGGACGCAACTCATTCCATTCACAGTTCGACTTCGGACAGAGCAGTGGCGCAGATGATTTCCATTCACAGTTCGACTTCGGACACAGCAGTGGTGGAGGTGATACGACGGGGTCCACACAGGCAGAGGATTACTTCATCCATAACACCGCTCCCGGCCACACCCAGGATGACACATCATCTAGCCAGCTGACTCCACCACCCCCGCCCCGAAACCCATTCACCACCATTCGGCAATACGCGAGGCGTCTTCGTAGACGGGGGGAGGACACACAGGATGGAGATCAGTTGCCTCCAATACATGAGTCCGGATAGTTTTAGTTAGTTGATCTTTTAGTAGTACTCAGATATTTAACAATGTTGTATATAACGCTTACATTATTAATACAAGAAATGTTTTTTAAACGACTCTGTGTACAACTTGAAATTTATTTACCTTATTTGTCCGAATTTGACTGTTGTCCACTTATAGTACCGTTTCACGGTGGTTGTACTGTTGTTGGGGTTGTTTCCGATGTTTCATGGTTGTCGGTGGTGGTGGAAAGGTTGGGGCTGGTGGTGGGAATGCTCTTGCATTGTTCAGGGTGTTTTGCATTGCATAGGGTTGGTCGAGAATGGCGCCCAGTGGTGGGGGTGGTGGTTGGTGGTTGTGGTGGTGGTGGTTGTCGTTGGTGTGAGTGGTGGTTGATGGTGGTGGTTGTGGTGGTGGTGGTTGTCGTTGGTGTGAGTGGTGGTTGATGGTGGTGGTTGTGGTGGAGGTGGTGGTTCATAATGGTGAGGGTGGTGGTTGGTGGTTGTGGGGGTGGTGGTAGTCGGTGGTGGGAGTGGTGGTGGTAGTTGTGGTGGAGGTGGTGGTTGATGATGGTGTGGGTGGTGGTTGTTGGTGGTGGATAGTGGTGGTGGTTGATGGTGGTGGTGGTTGTTGGAGGTGGTGGATGGTGGAGGTTGATGGTGGTGGTACTGGCTGAGGCTGGTGTGCAGGGGCAGCAGCAGATGGACAGGAACAGCAGCTAGCTGTTGTTGATGCAGTCCAGCAGTAAAACGTTGCCTCAGGCAGCGTTTTATGTAGTGAATAAAACGCTGCCTTAGGCAGCGCTTTACTGTAAAACATAAAACGCTGCCTGAGGCAACGTTTTACTCTGTATACATACATAGTAAAATACTAAAATACCAACAGAAAGTCAAACTAAATAAACCGCAGTCTCAGACAACGTTTTAGTTCTTGAATTTTTTTTAATAAAAAACTGGGGTTAAAACGCTGTCCGAGGCAGCGTTTCACCCCAGAAGCTTAGTTTGGGAAATACTTTTGCCACGAGACCACTTTCGTAAATATTTTCCTAAATAAGCTTATTTTTGTCAAAAATCCCACCAATGTAGTAATGTATGTTACATGCAATTTCTAGCTAGGTCGTGGCCCATGACATAGACATACGAAAGAGCCAATTTTGGTTGTTTAGTACAGAAAGAAATTGACTTAACATGAACACAATCACAAAACGACGAGGATTGAGGAAAGCAAAATTGTCCATATCAAAAGAAAACATCCCTGTCTTAGGAGCGTTATTGGGCAAAATTCAGGGACCCCACAATTTCAAAATTTCCAGGAAAAATGCTGTTAAATATCGTTAACAATTAACATCATCATCATCTTCATCTTCAAACAAACTCAAAATTCCACCCATTTTTTCCCTCCTTTATTTCTGTCTTATTTTCTCCCTCCTCCGAAATCTTCGTCATTTTTTCTTCAAATTCCTTTCTCTCTCTCTTTTCTCCATTTCCTCTCTCCTAGGGTTTTCAATTCAGAGAGAAGAGAGGGAGAACAGAGGGAGAAAGGAGAGAGGTTTTCCGCGCTTCGATGAAGGTGTAATAATATTATCATTGAATTCATGTCCATTGTGTTGGTTGAAGAAGATTAGAGAAAAGAATTGATTGAAATGGGTTTGAAAATGGATGAAGTTGAAGAAAAAGCTTGTGTTTTCGAGGAATCGTTTGAGATTGATTTTGATTATGAGTTCGATGTTGCCAAATTCTTTGATTTTGCGCAGCTTGAGACGCCTGAGGAGATAGCGGAATCTGAGCTGTGGTTTGATATAGCTCAAGGCCATCCTCCTTCTCGTAAGATTTTTGTTGTTTTTTGAATTCGAGTTTACGTAGTACTCCGTAATATTTTTTTTTTTTGTTTTGAAACCTAGTATTCCGTAATATAATTATCTTATAATTCACATATACATAGTATCAATGTACTAGTCGTGAATCTCGTGATTATTGATTCCGCATAGAGGAAGTATTTTATGTTTTTGTGAGGAACTATTTGTTTGTGCAAAAGTTCATAAATAAGCTTAAAAATAACTAGTGACAGTAACATGGTACGATATTACTAATTCTGCAGGTAGTAATTGGAAGTGTTGAACTTTGCTTAAACTTGTACACTTTAATTTGTATTAAACTGTGGCAGCTAGCTCTTCCCTAAGCATAGGAAATTCTTGTAAACACTAACATCTAAATTTGTTTAACGACCGAAACCTGATCATGACAAGTAAACTTGCACGACCAATGTTTATTGAACATTTAAAGTAGTTTAGAGGTAAAAATAATCTAAAATGTATCAGACTTCAGTTTGCACAAATGTTTTGTACTATGTGTTGTCTGAATTTACCATGCTTGTAACTGTGTCGCAATTCGTGTGAAGAACAAGATTAGTTTGTGATGGATTGGATTAGGGGATACTATTCAATATTCACCATTCATCTTTTTAAATATCTAGATTGTTACCATTGTCAGCTTTAATAGTCAAGTTGGATATGGAAGCGGATGATTTTACAGACAGTTTTAGTTCTTCCCCAAGGTGTGGAACTCTGAGCGTATGTTCCATCGACAATGACAGTGGAGGGTCTGAAGTTTCCTTAATTGATAAGGGGGAAAAAGGTATGATCATAGTTTTTCTATGCACGTTTTTGATTGATTTCCGTATATTTCATTATTTTGCGCTTTTAGAGTTGCCGTTCACAAATCTGAGACTGTAAAGTCACCTGCATAATGTGTCCTGTAATGTTGAGTAGGCACTTGTATGTATAATACTTGTCAAAAATGACAATCAAAACTTAGAAGGCCTGCTTACCATTATTAAACCACATTATAGTTGATTGATTTTATTATTTCTCTGAATCCTGCAACAAAATATTTTGACAGGACCACAGGTGCTGAAGTTGAAGTCCACATCCCAGCCAAATTATCAAGTGATCTCAAGATTGTTACAACCTACAGCAAGCCTTTTGGCGAAGAAAAATCAATACATAGATGTTCATTCAACAAGAAATTCCAGAAGGTATTCCCAATGTGCTTCATTTCCTTAAATTAACTGTGATATACTTTTACTTCACCATCCATAAAGTAAAATGCAGTGTTCACTACTTTCTGTGTTGAAGTTTAGTTCCTCACTTCCCTTTCTGTTACTATCAAACTACTTAAATTATCAAAGTAGTCTTACATATGCCTCCTCCCTGAGGGAATATCATCCTAAATTTCTTCATTGTACTCTTTTCTCTTTATTAGGCTTCAGAAGCTTGGAAACCCAATCAAGTCTCCTGGAGAAACTGATGCTACCAAAAGACAAAAGTTGGAGATTGGTTACCTGCGCAAGGTTATTACTCGATGAGTTCCACTTGTCTTTATCTTTTGATGTGCAAAACAGCATATGATTACTCTGTCTCAAACCAGTTGTATCATCTTAATGACATGAAATAACCTTTTTTCTTTCCAATTCTTTGCCCATTTTTATCCATCAATTTCTCCACGATCATGAGGGCAACCCTACAACTAAATACCTGCTAATTCGATGCCCACCAGATTTATGATATTGTTGCATAAGGAGAAGCTTTTAGGGTGAGCTAGAAACTTTTCCATCTGAAACAGAGGTTTCTTGATTGTTCTTGGTAACACCAAGATAAATTGTTATACGGGGTAGCAAATTCTAGATTGCTTGTAAATCTATATTATGTAACAATTCTTTTCGTTTTGATGCATAAGCAGGTTGCTCAGCTTAAACATCAAACAAGTTTTTCGCACAAGTCATCCAAAAAGGTAAAGAATGTACGAATATATCATTCTAATATTGCTTCAGAGGGCACTGATTGGTTCCCTTTTTAGATATATCTCATCTTCAGTGTAAGACATTCTGCAGAAATATGAGTTTTGTTTTTATATTTAAAATATCTGGTATCATATCAGCTAAGGATAATTTTCTGTGTTTTTTCAAGGCTGAAACCACTGTTGTGAACTCAACTAATACAAAGCCAAAAGTCACTGTTCCGAAAGAACCAGACTTGGCAACGACACATAGAGCATTGAGACAAAGGTTAACTTGTTGCTGAATTTTTTTATTCAATATACTTTATGCTTAGAATCCTAGATTTATGTGTATTATGCTTTATATTATTCCAGGTCCAAGAATACACCCCAACTGGAGAATGATGTAAAATATAACAGTTCCACCCTTAGAGCAAGACCCTCAGATAAAAAAGTTGGTAACTTGTTACATGGAGACAGTAGTCTGATATGTGTTACACAGGCCACTCTTACTTACTTTGTTTTTATTCCTTGATTGCCAGATTCTGGAGAGTCAATCTTTTAAGAATAAAAGCACACCATCCTTGCCACAGATTCAGGTTACTTTCTCTTAGAATAAATAATGTAGTTTAATTTGGTTATTGTTGAATTTTAACTAATTTAGCTACAAAATGTTCATTTATAGAACCTTAAGCCAGTTTTATCAGTAGAAAGTATTACCAGTTATTTTATTAGGTGAAAAAATCAGCTTCTTTTGTACAGGAAAGTAATGTACGTGGTGGAAAGGTTACTAATGGTAGTGCAATGCTGGACTATAAAAGGTAGTCTATATATCACTGGTGCTTGTGCCGAGTTTTCTTTCATTACTTTAAAATTATATTTTCTTCTATTACATGTATGTTACTATCTCCAACTCCGGTTGTAGTGGGAATTTCACTCCTTTCTTTCACTTTACTGTGAAAAACTGGTGCATATTCTGTTTCCTGTGATCATAGCTGTATGATTCTCCCAACTTTTTTCCATCACCGATGTTGAGTTACTTTTCTTAATGGTTATTTTATTTTGAGGTTTGTGGGGTTTTGACATTGTTATGTTTTCAGGATAAACTCCAGCAAATCTTTGGTGCGACAGAAATCTGATGTACTTGATAACTTTCGAGCTCATCCATTGAACAAAAAGGTAATATACTACAAAGATATGATCTCAATAACACTCACATAAAAATAAAATACTGAACACCAATTCTGCACACAGATATCAAGTAAAGGCGATATTGGTGTTTTCCGAAATTGTAAGAAGGAGAACACAGTCCCTAAGGTAATTCTGCAGTCAACTGTTTCTTTGTTCTTCTGCATCCTCAATAAATTTTCCACCCATCATATTTCCAGTATTTCTTAATATTTTCTGTGATATTTACAAGGAATTCAAGCTTTCCAGCAGTAAGAAGCTTTCCCAGAATCCACCAACTGAATTATTCAGTAAGGTAGATTAATGTGATGCTTATCCTGGTGTTTTCTGCCTAATGTTTCAACCTGTCTATTTTTTTAAATACATTTTAACGTTGTGTTCATGGTTTTTTTTTTTTTTTTAAATATTAAAATTTTTGATATTGCCAGCTATCTCTGATTCCTGGAAATCATTCTTCATCGCTGCTTGAAGAAGACCCTCTCCAAGTAAAGGTATGTGCCTTATTAGCATGGAAATTTTATTTCTCAATTATATTCTACTACCTGTTGGACACCATAACTTGCATACTTAGGTTCCTTGAGAGTATCTCGAGTGTGCTTATTTATCCCTTTTTTCTTATTAACAATGTAGGTTTTGAAGAAGAATGTATCATTACCCAACATGAAGGAAAACAAGGTATAGCAACATGAAACTTTTGAGTCTCTGAACAATATCATTGATGAACTTCAATATCTAGTTAAATGGACGTTATTGTTTTTCTTACATTTTAAAGTGGCATTCTAGAATGCAAATGCAGTCATTGGGAAATCGATGAGTTGTTTTGGAAACGGGAGGAGGATGATCACAGATATTAAAAATCATCTCAGTAATTCCAGGTAGGAATTAGGACAAGATTTATGTTCTGAAAAAAGTTAATTTCCAGTTTTGAATTATTTTCTTAATCTGGTGATGTTACAGACATTACATTGCATTGAAACAACGTTTTTGGTCACTGCACTACTTAGTATATTTGCTATAAACTGAGCTTGATTAACCTTAAAATACAATTCTGTTCTCTTTAAACTGCATACACATAGCCCATTCCGTAATCATGTTATTACAATATCCCTGCTTTAATTTTGCAGGAGCTTCACAATTAGCTAAGAATATATCATCACTGTTTATATATGCTGGTCATATCCTGCTGGAACAAGGAATATCGTCGTAATTGTGTATACATGGCCTGTCTGTGCTGTCGTACGAGTTCCTTGCTTACCACCAACGTGCTCAGCATCATAAGACTGCTTTAGGTGGCTGCGCTCTCAGCTATTATTCAATCGATAAATATTGTAAATGGCATGAAAGCAGGAATTAACTTGAAATCAATTTTGTAGAATCCAAGTCTTCATCATTTCCTGTTGTACATAACTTTCACTGAGAATGTGTCAAAGATAATTGATGCACACTGAAATTAAGTAGAGTAATTTCTTTTCGTTTTTTAATATAGACAACCCCAAGAAAATATAGTGAGGACTGTGTTTGAAGTTTTTACATGGCCATACCCTGTATAAAAATTTATGGGAAAGGAATCTCATGTACAATTCAAGTTATATTTAATTGATTGTTTACTTCATATCATACTTTAGTTTGCGAAATGACTTATTATAATTCCATATCCATACATAGTATTTCCTCAAGTTCTGATTGATTGCAATAGTAGGATAAACTCAAAGTTCACAAATCACAATAACACTGAGATGTGACCAAAATAGGAGTTTATTTTTTAAATCAAAAATGAATGAAATAGACAAGTATTGCAATCAACCAGAATTGAGGGATTAATTGAAACCAATGCATATAGATGAAAAATGAAGATGATAATGCCATACTGGCTCTAATTGGAGAATTACGAAAGTATACTTGTTAGCTGCTATATATAAATAATACTTGTACTTTAGTATATCATTTTCAACAGAACGCAATTTTTATAGTTGCCAATTCTTCCTATATACTTAGCCATTGTTGTGGCTATTGACAAAGAATTTCCTTTGCTTAATGTTCATCCAAAGTTTATGATCAAACAATTTTACCATCTCTGCCTCCGCTGTTGCTGCATCTTAACAATTTCCCCAAAGTAGTAGTGCTCAGCTTAAAAAGGAGAAAGTTGTATTTAAAAACTTGAAATCTGTTAGACCAAAAACATGAAAGAATTTAACCTATAGACGCCGATCTGTGCAAAAAACTCAAAATTTGTAGTTAATATTCCTTACATGAATGATTGACGTTTAAGGGAATCAAGGAAAGATGTGAAGATAATGGATCACTCTGATTTTTGCTAAATATCGATCACTTGTCGGTTCTTGTCAGGACGAAATATTACAAGCACAAACTTGAAAAATAATGATGACAAATCCCTACTTAATAAAGAAAATTACATCATCCACACTCTAACTGATTTCATATGAGGCAATGTAGTTGTCTTCCTTCCCGTGAGTTCATGCGCCATCCATCTTATGACTGTCGCTATTCGTACAAGTAATTCAGATATATACATTGGTTAATCCATTTTAACTTGTATCTGCCGGTGAATATGTACCAGAAACTCAACATAGGATAAGCCCAATGGAGACTTGTCTTCTACCATGTATGAGAAAAATAACATTCCTGAAAGCAAAAGGAACAGTCAAACATGAGAGAGGGGTCCACTGCAGTAGGGTTAAAATGAGTTGTATACAAATTATGCATGATTACCACATAAAAAATGTCTACTAATACATCTTATTCACAATTCCCTTTTCTAAGTCTATATTTCTGTCACTATATATATATATATTAGGTTAATCCGGTAAAGGAAAACAGGTCAGACAAAATTGGTCAGAACTTGCATTAAAAGATGGTTTGTTATTATGAGATTGTTTGAACTATGACAACTGAGAAGACCATATGGCCAACCTCGAGAGTTACTAGAGGGTATTTTTGTATTCTTGATTATATAGTATAATATCTTCATCCATCTTGCTCAACTTCGGAGGGGGCTATGGTGAAGGTTGACTAACAAGATTTGGTCCAATTGACATAAAAGTTGAGGTATGCAATGCAAGCCTATTAAGTGACAGATCTCTAATGAAACTTAGTTATCACTCCTGGTGTTCATAATCACAGTTACACAACATATACTATTTCAAATGTCCAATAAAGTTGCCTGTCTTTCCTAACATAAAATGGTTTAGCCGTGTAGGATTGGTCTCTTCGTAAACTCATGTCATGAAGAGGTTGGGACATTGCAACAATAAATTGTTAGATTATGCATAATGGAGCATGATGTAATGTAGTCCAACTTAATATTCTTTCTTTGTACTTGCAATTCTTTACACATGCTTATTTTAAACAATACGTTTCTTACTATATGTTCCTTTATTATGAAATGTATGGTTCTTTGGTGAGATTTGTTCTTTTATTTTGAGCTACATGTTCTTTTACTGTGAGTTACAGGTTTTTCAGATCCTGTAGGATCTAAGTCCAACTTTTCAAAAGTCAAAAAGGTTTTTTTTGTAGAAAAAAGAGGGGCCAAAGGGGTAAACATCAGCACGAGGTACAGTGCTCATCATACAAGAGACCTACATACATGAAACTCACATACATGCGTCGCTTAGTGGTATCTGATAAACTTATACATTCAGAAATATAGCCATATAGGTATCACCGTATCACTAATAATAAAAGAGCCTTACCTGAAGAATCTCCTTGCTTGCACAATTTTAAGCTGCAAGGAAGTTATGGCACTAATTAATGGCATTTCATAAAAGAGATAATGTAAAAGTTATCTTAATAAGCTAAGAGAACTTGAGGTGTACCGTAGATAGGAACATCTCTGACGTCGTATCTCATTAATGACTTCATTAAGTTTCTTTGACTGTGAATTATCATGCTGCTGCAGCACAAACTGCACACACAAGAACGCAAAAACTGTTTTTCAAAAAACATGAAGGCAGCAGCTAATATCTTCTATTCTTATCCCATCCACTGACCAACTACCTTAGGGATTAGATTATTCTAGCAATCACAAGAAGCCATTGTTTGCATCTCTGAATATATACAATATACATCTACTACGTGTAGTACTGTAGACTTGTAGAGCGTAGACATAGAATAATTTTACAAAAATGCATAGAACTACCTTCATCTGCACTTGGACATAAATTTTAACAAATAAACTGTCATTCACAAATGGAAGCACCGAATAACTTAATTTGCACATTGTGGTTGCAACTTACAACACCATTATCTAAGGGAGCCCAAGGAGAAATGTTTGAAAAATTTGTAAGGGTAGGTATGATGAACTTTAACATGAGCTCGGCATACCTGAGTAGGGATCTCAGCAACTGATGAAAAGCCAAATAGTTGCTGCAATATATTAGAATTCACGGAATTTCCAATATAAATTAAAGCATCCAGGCCATTCTCAAGAAGATAGATTCCATCATCACTGATGTTTTCACTAGAAAGTGGGAGTGCAGATGGAATAAGCGAGCCATCCGTTTCCTGATAAAAAGCAGAAGAGGAGACAAAGCAGCAATGCAGCATCTATGTAAGAACAGAGGTAAAAAAAAAAAAAAAAGAAAAAAAAAAAGATGGCCAACAAAAATGCTGCAAGAAAGCAATAAAATGTACCTTAGAGATAAGATCATGGACAGCAATCAGCCTAGGATACACCAATGGAACTCCAAGAGGCGCAGATACAGAAGAAACATATGTCATCCAGAATGACCGATCATCTATTCGTCCATCGGTTCTTAGTCCGGTACTTTTAGTTAATGCTGAAAAGAGTAATAAACAACATCACCAATTCATACAAAATAACTCCCACCCAGTTGGTACAATCATACAATTTAACATTATTCATATGATGACCTACTTTATATCTTGTATGGTGACAATGCAATGAAGAAGATCAGGGGTCCACCTCTAATTTCTTCCTAAATCATTGTCAAACCACATTACTAAATGTGCAGCGGAATGCACTAATGCTGCGCCTAATACTCTAGATAGATTTCAAGGAAACAACCATCATAATTCAGGTTCACTGAAACGAGACAATTCTTTGGTGAAGCTTAAACTACGTGATAACATGGCATCTAGCCTTCAACAAACGTTCTTTTTGGTGTACATACATGGTCAACAGACACAAACAGCTGATATTGTAGCAATGCAGAGGCAGCCATCGAATGTAATCAAGAATATCTCTCAGTTTATTATTTTACTTCAAAATGCAGCAGAGTGCAGATACGAAAGTGGTTGGGACTTCCATAGCATACTTGCCTTAGGAGTCATAATCTCATTTTAACAGGTTTTCATAGTATATTAGTATCATCATCATCAATTCATCATCGTGTCTCAGGTATTTCATGTTCTTGACCTGGGTTTGTTACTTAATTCTAGATAATTTGCCGGAAAAAGTGTCAAAATGTAAGTTGTTCAAGAAGAAAATTAAGCTACCTACAGACTACGCAAAATGTTTGATGCATCTCTGGTTATTACTACGAGGACAGGTCATGACAAGTTTAGGTATGAATGTCCCCAAACCAGCACAGCTTGGTCAGTAAGTGCCTTGGTATTCCACAACATTAGAGGGACTCATATCCTTGCATTCACTACCTTGTGTCATGATAAATAGATGTGGTGCAAAAGTCAGAATTAATATAGTTACCCCCTCCAGCCCTACCCCCATGTGCTCACCCTCTACGTCTCTAACAGATGAAAACTAGTTTGCAAGGCAACCAACTAATGAAATGCAGAGGTATAAAATGTATTGCACATTGGAGAGAGGGGCGACATTTAACGAATCCCACTGCTATCTAACCTTTGGTGAAATCATAAGTTTAAGTGAAAATGACAAAGCCTTCCACCAAAGGCCACTGTCTAGTCTTTAGATGTTGAAGTGTTAATCAGATCTGAATTTCTACATTCGAGAAGCATTTAGAAGCTCAAAAAAATCTAAAAACTTAGTACAATCATTATGTGTATGTAGCTATGTGCATTTGGGGAAAATTCATGTTTGGCAGGCATTTGATCACAAACTGATCCATCTAGAGAATGCTCTCTAGTCCCAGGCACAGTAATCAGGAAAATTCAAAAGTCATCCAATTGTAATCATTAGCTAGATTACAGATAACAGATTAAAACTATAACAGAAAGGATAAGAAATATTAAGGACAAAAACAATCATAGAACATGATCCAATACAAGGTTAAGATCAAGCTCTATATCTAACAGTTGAACTGGTAGCAATGAGGGATCATACCAAGAGTGTATAAAGGCAGAAGTTTGAGAGCTTCAGGCAGAATGAGTTGTCCAGTAGATTGGACAGTTGAGCAAAATTTTCGATAAGAATGCAGAATGTTGACACAATGGTTTGTTGCATGCTCCCTGACTTGTGAAAGAGGCAAAGTAGGAATTTCATTTCCAGCTAAAAAAACGAAATTGTTAGTCTATATAATTCAAAACTTCAAACACAGCTAAAATCCAAGAGTAGCAGTATCATAATCATCTACAATCAGCCTATATTAAATGCATTACCTTGCTTCAAGAAACATGTGAATTGAGCATCCAAGTCAGCTGAGCGGAATAGATTAGGAAGCGCACTTGTACATGATAGAGAGAGATTCATGACTCTGATTCTTCTTTGACCATACACAGTGGTGTAGAGAATGGCGCACTGAATACACAGAGTAGTTAGTTGAAGTTGGCAAGCAAAAATTACTATCATGATATCTCATTGTATCATTAGATAGGATAGTGTTGGTTATGTAAACAAGAGTAAATGATTTCAAGTTGTATGCAAAACTGATTGATGCTGTTATGGCATGGTACATTCATATGTATCACCGAATTATACCTGAAAAGCACATTCTGCGCCATCTTGTAGTTTATCATCATGTTTTAAGGTAACTGTTATAGTCTTATCGCAGTCAATCTGCATATCATCAAATTTGTTAAATTAGTAGAAAGAAACTTCCCAGCAACTGCATTTCAGTGTAAGTAGCACCCAAAGAAGAATATAACCAATGCAGACAAAATTTCTTGGAAAGTTTCTACATAAATGAAAAATAAATTCCTTTCTACATATGGAAAAGCAAAAATAATGAGGATCAATAGTTCTCACAGAAAACCAAAGGATATAGCAGACATGTGCATATCCATCAAAGAAAATCCGAAAGAAGCACCAACAGCAAGCAAGGGATTCCCAAAAAAAAAAAAAAAAAAAAAAACACCCCTAATGAATGCTCTTGGCTCCAACATGACCTGAACAAGTTCAATCCTTCACCCCTCCCCACTCCATTCATTTCTTGGCCACGTTAAGTGAATTTAGCAATCCTCATTTACAAAACAGTCCGCCTATAACATTGACCAAAGCATATTCCCTCAAGAACAATTAGTCTTCACTTTTTTCGGGGGAAAATAAGTGATCATTAAAATCTTAACAAAGTGAAAAATAGTCCTTCCCACTAGAAGTGTTTTGTTATGAGTCGATAAATTGACAAGGACATGGAATATAGGAGTAACTGGAGAGCACCCCTATAAACTATGCATACAATGTTTTCACATGGCTTCAGTAAGACTTCTAAAGTCTTATTTGCCACACATATACATAGATTGGCAAGTTGATCCAAAGACATGAGAGGGGTTCAAATAGGCATGTAGTTCTTTTTTCTCCTTACATAGAAAAGGGTTCAAATAGGCATGCAGTTCTTTTTCTCCTTACATAGGTCACACAACCCCCAATAAAACAAAATAAATAAAAAATAATTTTCTCAGCAGTATAATGTATTCAAAAGTCCTCAGGTGATGCTAAATAACAACACCCCAATTGCTGTCTCCTCTATATGACTATATCTAAACCAACTTTAACACGAAAGGAGTGTAATACAGTATAATTTCATGTGAAGGGATGAAGGAAACAGAGTTCATAGTAAATCTAACACTTAGTATGCCAAAAATAATATATTGCAATGCATTTTCCTATTCTAATTGAAAACTCAAGTATTATAAACACTTTTAAACGACATAGGGCCTCATGGAGTAAGTATAGGCACTATAAGTTAATAGAAATTTCACGAAGCTCGCAACACGACACACCTTACATAGAACTCAGGGAACAAACTCAATTGCAAATTCTGGCAACACAAGTTTCAGAGACTAGAAAATTAAGGATACTGGTTGTGAATATCCACCCTTAAGTGGTGAAGTATGACGTAAGCTTTTTAAAAAATTGGGTTTAGTGATAATACATGACAAAAACCAGATTTAAATTACTCAATTTGGGGAAAAGCACTAGATTCAAGTAATGAAAAAAGATCAACATACTGCAGGAAGGTCAACATCCGTTGGAATACGCTTGCAGAAGTTTCCAGTGTATTCTTGGACTTGAAGACCCTAAACATATATTTGAAAGAACAGTTCAATGAGCATAACATCAAGGAGAATCAGTAAACTACATTACATAATGAGCTTTAGGCAACTACCAAATACAATAACCTACCTGGCTGCAACGAACACGCATCACAGCTTCAAAACCTTGTGGCCTAGATACATTCCATCTAAGATCATTATACAGCTTAGCTGTATCAGAGAGTGACGAGAAGGGATAGTAGTAATAAACCTATAACAATAAGTATCAAATGGTTAAAAAAGGTTCCATGCATCATATGATGGAGTTTTCATTCTTATCAAAAAAGAAAAAAAATGCAATAATGACACAATAAAAACCCAAACTAATGGAGGTATGATAAATGATCAATCAGTAATACATTTATTTGGAAAAATTAAAAATCGAAACTTCCTCAAGTAAACACTACATATGGCACTTGTCTGAAAAAAAAAATCAAAAGAACCCAGGAATGAGCTCATATTAGTACAAACATTGGTCAGGAATCTAACCATTCCACATAGAAAGAAATGATGTCAGCTTCCTGCCATTCTAATAACTAAAGATCCCTTACCAAACCCCAGCAGATCTGGATATCACAAAATTGACTGCAAAGTACACCAAATACAAAGAGCACTCATGAAAGAAATACGGCCTTGCCTCTGTATACATTTAGACAATTACTCTGTAGAACCTTAAAAAAAATAAAATCAAGAGGCAGACATAATTTTGCAAAATCTAGTAATTATATGATATACAACTACAATCAAGCTAAAGTAGACAATTCAAGATGCTTAGGACGCCAGACTATATCAAAATCATAACTGAATTAAAATCTCTTGACCTCAAATATGCACCACCAAATAAACAAAAACGCCCCAAAGTCAATGGACCCTAGACAACCACAACTTCAACATCCTAAAGCCACCACAGAAGTAGTTTTAACTTTATAAGATGAAGAAACTTCAAGTTCTAGCAGACTACACAAGGAAATGTCAAAAAGATAGTCTAGATGCTCTGAAATTCTGTAATCATACATATGGTTGTATATGACCAAGTAGAACCACTAGCTTCATCATTCATCAATGCCATTTGAACACAAGCTACAAGCAAAACTATGCACAGTTCTGAAATCCATTTTCTAAATTGATTTTCTCCAACGTTACTAACAGGAACCAACATTGGATTCCAGTATACTATACCATACAATATCACCAAGAAACAGAATTGAAGAAGAAAGATTTGAATTTCAAGGAGTCCTTTTTAACGTAAAAATAAGTGCAATGAAAAATACATCCATGTATACCTGTCCACCAGTAGTCCTTGGCACAACAGAGATAGAAACAATATCCATGTATGACTGGGTAGTAAGGAACACATCAACACAGACCTAACATTGACAAGAGGAAAGTCAAAACTCAAAAATGCTCAAATTAATTTGAACTGAATACATACTAGTCCTAAACCTTTTGCTTTTGACAAAGTGACGCAAATGTGAAATATCATATAGTCACCTGATATTCAGCCAACTCTAAAGCCATTTCTCTCAAAGTTTTGTCTGCAGGCTGCAGCAACTTATGAGCCTCCTGAGATCATAGAAGTTTATAAAATTGCATCTTCAGTTCTCTTAAAAGTCAAAATCATACATATGGATCATAGAAGTGGATTCCAGACAACAAAGTATCGCTACATACAATTGCATCCAACAGTGTGAAATTTCAAAAAAAATAAAGAAATAAAAACTGTTTGATCTGTGTTAAATTTTGGGTACTCATTTCTTAAGCAACAAAGTAGGATGTAAAGTGGAGAGAAGTAGTCAAATCAGTTTCAGCACTGGTTCACTGTCTCGATCCATATCTATAAAACCTAACAAAGAATTTATTTCAGTGGGTGAATTAAGTCAAATCTTTGTGTAAATCACAAAATTAATTAGAAAAACAGAATTACAGAAGGTGATAATAATGAAAAAGGATGCAAATCCAGAGAAATTTTGTTTTATATATATATATTACCAAACACAGTAAACCTTAGGCAAGCATATCGTCAAATAAGTGAGCAAGTTGGCATCCTCAACACAGAGGGATACCTACGACAAAACTCTTGGAGTACAGTGATAAATTGTCATTGTTAAGGAAATATTGTTTCTAATTTACCTTGTCTCCAGCCAATGCATTTGCTCTACCTTCAGCTTCTCTAACAGAAAGGGCGCTAATGCCAAGTGATGGTAATACTGCACACACAGAGTTATGCTCAAAGAATAAATACAAAATATCTTGAGAATAAAAATTTAAAAACTGAAGAGCACAAAGGACCCCTATCATATGAGCGTGTCTCATTCTTTTATAACTCAATACAAAGACATGAATCTCTGGTTTGTTGTATGATATGGTATACATGATTCATATTTATGAAAAAACTAGTGATGCATAGCATATTTATAATACATTAGTCTAGATAAATTCTCAATATGAGAGCAGCCATAAATGTTAATCATAAAAATGTCCACCTCACTTCACTTATGCCTTCACCTCTTCATCATGCATTCATGCTTGGGCTGCACTGCTTCAGAACCCCTTTCACTTAAGTGCCTCATTCTATTTTATTTTTTTTAATGTTTAGAGAGCATGTAAATACATGATAAGGGTCCACTATTGAGTCAATAATCCCAAACTACCCCACCAAGCTTCAAACACATTTACTTGTCAAAAAAGAAAAACGCAATGCAGCATTCAATCTATTCTTCCCAAACTAATAATCGAACCAATAGTTTCAGCGGGGAAAAAGTGATAAAAAATAGAGGAATATATAAATCATAAATCTCCTGAAATGGCCTCCCTCATGCATCAAGATATTTTTAGCAATAATATGAAGAGCAGTGATGAATAGAAGAATTATTTTCAGCTCCAAGCTTTGCGTGTAAGGTTAAAAAGAGAGAGCAATGGAAGCTATATACATTGAGGTGGAATCAATTACTATATAATGCACACATAGCACTACAACACTGTTTACTTATACAAAGTATGAAGAAAAGCGCAGATGTACTTTGTAACATCACTTTATATGCCTACACAGAGAAATCAAGATAGGTTAGGTGATATAAAAAGCTATGTACTTCATAACATTTTGCATTCAATGTAAGTAATGTTTCCATGCCAGAAAATTCTACAATGCAAAAAAACCTTTACTCTGTTGACATTAAGAGACTTTTATTAATAGAATATGATAAAACAATGAAAAACCGCTAATTGATAAAGGTATATAAAGCACTTGCCTGATTGAAACACTAAAAGCTTTCCTCCACTGCTCTTCATAGCCATGTACGCAGCCTAAAGGTATTAAACAAGATACCCTGCCAGTCAGTTTGTCACCTAAATCCATGCCAGCATAATGCACACACACACACACACACCAACAACAACAACAAAAAACTTCCTGATCTCTCTCTTCACCCAAACTACCTCCCTGTCCCAAATACATGCTAAAACATACTTGTAGCCTAAAAGAAAGCCAAACAGCATTACCCAAACTTTAGTGACTTGCTAACATTACAGGCGGGAAAAATAAATGTGCAACCGTGAAACACAGCAACAGTACCATGCATAATAAAAAAAATTCATAATCACACTTGTTCTTTTCTAAACATGAATGAACTAACTACATCATACCTTGACTGCTGCACCAAAGGCTGAATCAGCAATCATATTACTCTGAAACATGGTTGGAATGCTTTCCAGCAATAGCTCTAGATGTTGACGGCACTGAGTCAATAACACATAAAAAAAATTTAATCAAAGGAACTTATTAGCATGTCGAAGGAAACAAGGTTCATGTTTAATGGGAAAACCTCGGAAAGTTGAACGATAATATCTGTTTCCAGAGGAGTATAGACATCATGTACATCAGGAACTATGAGCATCAGCGGCTGCAAATTACAACAAAAAATCAGAGTTTTTATCGTTATCATTTGTTATTACATGAAACATGTGTATGTAACAAATTATTTAGCCCCAAAGATGATCTCTATAGAAAGAGAAGATGATGCCAGCCATGGTACTATACTATGATCTAATACAAAAGTTCCCAGAAAAGAAAGAGAAGAATAACTGTACAACTATGAGATACAAGTCAAGAGCAGTTTAGTAAATAGAATTCAAATACGTGAATTGAAAGCACATCAATCAAGACAGTATCAATATTGATTCTAAAATATGGCATGCATTAGAGTTAGAGAGCAGTGGATTGTAAACCTGCTGAAGTGCCCGTTTCAAATTGTAAAAATGTATTGTTGAGTCAAATGTTGCAATTCCCACCATAGTTCTTGGACCTTCCTGCAATCAAAAAACATGGAAACATAGCAACCAATAATTTGGAGTCCGTAGGCAGTGCTAGATGCATTGCAATTTCTAAGAAGAACCAAATTCATACATAATATAAGCTACCCTGCTTCATGATAGTAGGTCGAATAACTTTTCTGTTAAGTTTTAGTTTCATCCTTGTACATACTTTCCTAAGATCGTATATCAGTAAACAAAACGCAATAATAAACATGATAATCAAAGTTGCTAAAATCATATATTTAACCAAGTGTTTACAAACAGGTTTCCTAAGTGGAATGACTCATTTTTGGAAACCCATTGACTTGTTCCTTACAAAAAATCCAGTTGAAACCCATTTCAGAATAACAACATGCTCATAATAAAACTATTTGAATATGATGGATGATGAAGTATGTTCAAGGTTTACCCAAAATAACTGCATGTAAACATAATACTTACTGGGAGATCAGCAATAACTTGATTGATAGCACTACAAGCAGCTGCAGTTGCACCAGTCTGTATGGCATTCATGGAAACATCAACAACGAAGAAGAACACTGCAGGCATAGGATCACGCACCTAGGAGACAGGAAAGACAAAATTCAATACTGTTTCATAAAGGCTGATGAATTCAAACCCACTACTAATGCAGTCAAAAAGAGTAAAAAGTTTGTCTTCCTCAGATTCTACTCTCTTATAGGTGGACATCAATCCCGTTATAAGCTCATTCAGCAATCCAAGACAAGTAATAACTACCGAAAATTATGAGCAATTTAACTGTCTTTAATTCTTTATCACAATCTATATTGTTCAGATTTGGATATGAGGATTGAATATGTTTACATGTCCAGATATCTGTTCATTAAGGACATGGGCTAAGTGCCTAAGAGCTCTATAAAATTTATTTATTTAAAAAAAAAATAGAGGAAAAATCAGTTTGTGTGACATAAAAGAGAGAAAAGTCCAAAAGTTGTAAAAAGAAAAGAAAAAGAAAAGAAAATTCCACAATTTTAAACAAATATACTGCTCCCCACTCCCTATGATAAAATAAATGCTTCCTCTGCCACAGCCCTACAATGTATACCCATCCATCTTAATCCCATATGCAGCAAAGTACAAAGACTGAATGTGATGAAAAGAGAGGGACGAATGGACAAAAGGTGTAGGTGTATAACACTAAAAGCATCAGTTTAACCAATACATAGGTCTGGTAGTTTAATTAACTTTAATATAATAAGATGTAACTATGTAAGTGGGATAGTTGGGGTATTACATTGTAAAAAAAAGATAGTGGAATTAATAGTTTATTGAAAATTAAGGGATGTGAGAGTAGATAACAAATAAAATTAATGAAAGAAAAAGGTATGAGTGGGGACCATGCAAGGTGAAAGATATGATATTAGAGAGTAGTAGTTAACCAAAAAAAAAAAAAGGTGCAATATTATAAAAATGGAGGAAGTAATTTTTATCAGTTTGTAAAAACTTAATATCAGCCACACATGTCAATCTCCATAATTAGTTCCTCCCTTTGTTCCTTCATAATTTACATAAAGGACTTCGACCATAGAGAACATTTTTATTTCAAACTACCTATATAGCTTAGCGATAGTTTGAAATAAAAATAACTAACCATGTAAAAAGGAGGAGGGTTACGGTAGGCCAGTGACAGCCAGTGTAAAATTTTGTCACATTGCGTGACATGAGCCACAATGATTGAGAGTAGTACTAGGACGGGTGACCTCCTGGGAAGTCCTCATGTTGGTTCATGTAGCCGACCCCACTTATGGGATTAAGGCATTCAAGCAGAAGAAGAAGATATAGCTTAGCAATATTCTGTGAGAAGTCTTTATTCATGATGTAAAATAACTAACCATGTATTCTTTTGTTGCAACAAATTCAACTGTTCCCTTGGACAATTCAGGCCTTTCATCAGCATCTCTACGCCGCCCATCAGGCCCAAGATTGCATTGGTAGTCACGTGGAGTTTCATCAGTAAATCCTGCAAAACGCATAAAATCAAATCTGGACATGTAAATGACAATCTAATATCTGTAGTTAATAAATTTATATGCTAACCACAATGCTGTATAATACTGAGCCCCATGTGATTACATAAGGGATTTTTCATTAAGTAGATATAAAATTGTATTTGCAGAGCAAATTTTTAATGTGGTGATTACAAAGTACCCTGGCTTCTGCATACTAATAACTCCATCCATCAATAATACAGAATACCACTAGACTCCAGGCCGTGACACTCTAGAAAAACAAGAAGATTCTATTATATATTTATATGGCCTCATTAGTCGAAGATGTTAAACAATACAGTTAATTTTTTGTATGTTGACCAAAATAAATGCACTGATACTTGTACAATTATTGTGCCTTTAAATGGACTTGGATATCTCATATTCTTATGAAGTGTATTGAGGTGTATTGCGGAACATAGAAAGAAAAATCACTCAAATTATTCAGATGACCTTCATGCTTTAACACATTAGGCAAATAGTATACTATCACTTTATCAGGTCATTCATCAATAATTCACGCATAAACAAAGAGTTTCATTGCCAGCATCAAAAGCTGCCCTAATGCAGGCTTCTTCAATAGACTTCCTTTGAACATCCTCCACACCCCACAAACAATTTCTTTCACTTCAACAAATATTTATTTTGAAGTTCACTTTGTTAGCGATTCATATTTAGTAAGCTTTCCTCAGATACCTTTTACAACTACAACATGAGAGTTTATCCTTCCGCGTTCACAAAAACTCATGAGAGCTAAATTGTACTTTCCAAATCATATAACAGTAAAGAGTAAACTAGGATAACAAAAACTGGATCAGAAAAAAGTCAATCATTGCTGATACAAACCACACAAGTTGCAGATGAATTGACGTCCCTGATCAATAAATTTCATGAAAGGGTTTATGTAGCCTTTGCAGCGAGAGCATCGCAATGGACCTCTTTCCCCAAAGTCAACAACCTGGACAAAGATAGATCAGTCTAACAGAAACAGTGTAATAAATTCACAAACGGACTGAATATAGAGCAGAAGCAGACACAAATCACACAATGCTTCTACAGTATCAGAGCCGGGACCTCCATATTATTTTTCTTTTAATAAGAAAATATGATGTATTAAAGGCTGAAAATTAAGTACAAGAAAAAGGACAAGAAGTCATCTAATCAGGAATCCAAATTGCAGATTATGCCAGTTGCTTTTCACCTCCTTAATCTAATAACTCTTAGCTGCCCCAGCTGTCTTAGCCCATGAAGATGCTTGATACGTTACTTTATCCTTTATTAATACCTTGAGGAAAAAAAAAGGTCTAGCATATGTACTCAATAGAAACTTAATTTTTCTTAGTAGATGTGCAAAAAGGTGATCATCCATTTCTTTCCTCCATTGGTCACCCCTTTGTCCACGATAAGGTAGTATAACTCCATTTACAGTTGTCCAGAAATCTTATTCAGATCATTACAGAATATATCACCAGAACACAAGAATGGATTTCAAATCCTTTTCTAGCCACAAACGGAGTCATACAAAGGAGTCATACAAATCTTCTACTTCCATCCTTGTTCTCCCAGAGGTTTAAGTTCCAAACCTAAAGATCAAAAATATTTAATCCCCAGGTAACAAAACGTTACCTGAATGGGTTCCTCGGATGGATGAGGAAGAGCGAATGGTTGAACAAGCAAAGCCAATGGCATCCCAGATGTCGTCAGAAGCTCGCTTGTGCATGGGATCTGTTGAGATAGCGAGACACTACAAGTCATTCTAAATTATAAAGGAAAGGATATAAATTCCCTACTTATGTAATCATGATACTTATCTGACCAATCCCAAAAAACAAAAAGTTACCTGACTAATTGTACACCTCATGTTGCGAGGGCTGCAATTTCCAGTGTCTGTGACAATAAACTCGGTTGTAGCAGGCTTCACCACAAACAAGAAGACAATAGAATTTAGAAGGATTGATTTCCCATAATAATAGATATTTCATGTATAAACCATAGACAAATGCGGGATTCAGGGAACGAGCCATCAATTACCGAATACAAGAAATATAACAACCTAGTAAAAGGCATGCCATTCTTAAAACAAGTAAGCCTTAACTCCAAAAACTTACCAGACAGCCTTTAAAACATTAATCCCCACATATCTTTATGCTTTTCTGTTAATCTTCAAAGAAATATTTCCATCACTGCCCCTTTTTTGTGAAAGATTTTGTTCTTTTTGGTGTTTGGGTTCAAAGAGAGCAAGGATTTGAGGTTGGAATAAATCAAGTTAATACTACTAACTTTTTCTATTATTATATAATGGAAACCTCTACAACAATGTGACATTTTTCCATGCTTCCTACTAAGAAAGAAATAACATTCCACATTTAAGCAACATTTTCTGACCCCTTAAAACTAAAACTCAATGAATCTATTTTGCACCCTCAATCCTCGTTATTTAGCAATTTTCCAATCAAGAAACAAAATAACCCATTTATTATCTCTCCTCCTCATGTTCTCCCCCAAAAGAGAAAGATATGAAATTATTGCATTATATATTCTTCCAACCTTACAATATTATAGAAAAAAAGACTCTGATCTCTGTGTTTAGCTTAAAGCACAATGACTTCTATAAATAGCTTCAAATTAAAGATAACTATGTATTTCCACTGATTTCTTCCCTCTTCATATTTGAGTTGGTTAAGGAGGTTAAATCCCTACATACAACCTCCAGTTCTAAAAAAACAAAAAACCTGCTACTTAAAATCTCCTAAATTCAAAAAGGGTGCCATAAAAATGGAAGTTAAAGAGATATAATAGCTAATCCATTACAACACAACAAGATATAGTACCGGAGGGGGATTGGCCTGATTGCCTTGACGAGTCTCGTACAAGATAACTGATGAACTTGGGAAAGGGCGAGGAATTTGGCTGGGATCAACCTTCGATGCCATCGGACCTCCAATGTGACTAACAGCAGGTGGTGCTCCAGCCATGTTTTGGCTTGATATTGGTGGTGGCATTCCATACATCGATGGTGGCTGCAGAGAACTGGACAATGATGGAGCAACCTGACACAGTTTCATGATTTAAACCCCACAAGTAATAGAAGTCAAACAGTAGGACAAATGTTTATCTGATGTGTATAACCGAAATGCATGTTTGTACTAATGATGCCAACATAGATTGGAAATCTAGTAACATCATTCAAAGAAAGTACATTATAACATAACATAAGGAAACATTAAAATATCAAATGTCAAAATGCAAGAGATTCATAAACTAATAAATCATGTATTGGAATAGAAGAGCAAATGAAATGAAGTGAAAATTTCACCCACTAGAGGTACCAATGCTTGGAAGGTAAACTCAGATAAAAGAATGCATTGGTGTACCAGTCAAAGAGTTGCAATTATTATGAAATGGAGGGAGTATACTAATAATGGAGAGGAAAAGAAAAATTGGAGTGACAAACGGAAATTTTTAAGGTTTTCTGTCAAACAGGTAATAGTGGTACCCAAACTATTTTTCACAAAATTTATAGAGTAGTTTTTCACAAATTTGACAAATTTGGAAAGCAATTATGCTTATGCTTTAGAAACAGATACATAATGAAATTTAACCTAGCTATATGTTGGAGCTTCAAAAACAACCCCACACATTTAAAATAGAGTATTAGTACATACCTGACGTGGTTGTGTCTGCCATGGTTGTTGGACTTGTTGCCCAAAAGAAGAACCAGATGGTGGTTGTGCATGTTGTGGTACAACGGAAAAGGGAGATACTGGTTGTGATGGTCCTGACAGAGACTCGGTGGGAGGAGCAGCTGGACCACTAGCATGCTGACTTCCGAGATGAGGATGCATCATTGGAGACTGCGCCCCAAAGGATGGTGGGCCTCTTACAAAAGATTGCTGAGTTCCCACAGAAGAACCAGGAGGACCACCAGGAAAGCCTCCAGATGAGAATGAAGGAGGCCCATTACTAATGGGGCGTGGTTGAGTTGAGGAAGAAGGAACCGGACCTGCAGTTAATGGTGATGACCCAAAAGCAGTAGGACGAGCACTTGGTTGTTGGGGTACAGGTTGTGAACCTTGAAAGGGAGGGGGAGCACCAGGAGGAGGACCTCTAGAAGCAAAAGGTGGAGGCTGACTAGGCATAGGACCTGTAGGTCTTCCAGGTCCCATATTGGGTGGAATCATATTTTGTGGAGGTCCACCAGGGGGCATCACGCCCCTAGGAACCACACCAGGTGGTGGAGGTCCTGGTCTAGATACAGGTGAAGGTCCAGCAAAAGGTGGTGCGTTCTGACCAAAAGGAGGTGGCCCTCTAGGCCCACCAAAAGGAGGTTGGGATGGAGCATTTTGTGGTTGATTAAGCTGCAAATTCTGGAAATTTTGAGACAACGAATGATCGGGGCCTCTCTGCAAATTAGGATTATAACCGGCTGGTGGTCCAGAAGGACGTTGGTTATTGGGTCTAGTTGCCCCTGGATATACAGGAGCTGACATTGCTCCAAAAAGCTTCTGCTTCTCCTCAAAACCACGAACAGATATCGCCGTCCGTTTGCAGAAACATAAACTAACCACCAAATTCATCAAATAAGACGAACATACAATTTACATTCGAGTAATTGGAATAATGAACACTCAAAATATTATCAAATGACAGCTCAGTATAATGAAATCAGGTTCTTGCAAAAGTGAAATCTTGCTAATAAATACATCCCCAAACTACTGAATTCTCTATAATAAACATAGTTCAGCAGAAACCTACCAGTAAATCTGAATTAATCTTAACATCGAATTCCTAACATCATATAACACCAAATTCCAAAATCAAAGCAAAATTAAGCGAATTTCCAGGAACTCGATTCAGACAATTAGGGATTTGAAATTAAGTGAACAATTTAACATACGATTCCAAATCGATAATAAGTTCTAACAATGCAGTTTATGCAATTCATTTAATTGAAAAATACAAAGATATCCAGATCAAATCTTTGATGCGAAAAATAAAAATAGCAAAAGATTTCAAATTAACAATGATCAAAGTAAATCGAATACCTGATAACCGCAAAATAGGAGATTGAAAAGGAGCGAAAAATAGGAGTGATCTATGCTCGAATGAAAGATGATACGTACTTGGGAGGATCCGCTGTAAGAAAGTAATCACTATTTATATAAGTGACTTCTATTTCTTCGGAAATTATACTCGTATCATGTACGGTATTTAAATGATACTCGTACTTCGTATTGGGAGAAATACAGGGAAGTTCCAGTTTATCTTTTGTTTTATCTAGCAAAAAATGTTCAGTAAATATATTAGCAAAAATGTTCAATAAAGACATTTTTATAAATATATCAACAATTATAAGGCCAGGTTTATAAAATGTTGTAAATTTTAAAGTAATTTGAACATATTAGACAATACTCCTTAGTTGTTTTTACTTCACTAAGAATGAGAGGAATAAAAATAATTTATGTTTTGAGATTTATAAGCTTTGATGTAATTTAAGTCACTAATTAAATGAAGTGAAAGCACACTAAAACCCCAACCCTAATCAAACAACTACGAAGTATAATATATTAATATGAACTTGGGACAACAAGTTTGAGGGCACGTTGATCACCTCCATGGCACACTAACATATACTCTATGATATACTTTTTTTATATGAAAAATTTTAGATTTTAGAAGGTACTAATTTTTAGTGAAGTAAAATGAATTGAAACCTCAACCAATTTAATAGACATAGTTCATAATGTTCATATAACACAATCTAATGAGAATCGAAACCAATACCTTATGAAAGAAAGTGAGGGTTTTACCATTATTAAATCCTAACTCGATTTCAAACTTTAATTAATCTATTTTTTTCAATTTCAAATTTATATAGATAATAAAGATTAACGCAATAAAGCTAACTGAAAATGACTAAACGAGAGATAAATTTCCTCAAAAATCAATGTAATACATATTTTTGCAAATCTTTAATCAATTGTCAAATGTACAGAGTTCATTAGTTTTTCAAACCACTAATCTAAGACCTCTAATGTGGCAAATTGGCAATGACGAAATGTACTTCAACAAAAAAGTATGCGACTACACGTCATTGGTCCAATAGAAATTTTTCTTTTTATTTATGTGTCCCGAAAAAAAAAAAAAAAAAAAAAAAAACATAAACCCTAACACTGGCTAAAACCCACAACTCTTCGTCTCTCTTTCTCTCTCCCCAGTGATGGTAGCCATGGAAGCAGAACTTCAATCCTCTGAAAATGAGCTGAAAAATGGAGCAAAATTATTATGCGAAGAATGCAATTCTAAAGAATTCAAGTATAAATGCCCAGCTTGCTTTCGCCGCACTTGCAGCCTTCCTTGCGTCAATTCCCACAAACAACTTTCTGGTTGTACTGGCAAAAAATCCCTTTCCCAGATTATCCCCCTTTCTCAATTTGACGATTCTACCCTTCTTTCTGGTATCCATCTTCCCTTTCATTGTTTCCAATTATTAGTATTTTTTACCATCTTTTTAAAAATTTATTATATCATTTTTATGGTTATTCATATATTAATGATGCTATGTTATTATGAATTTGTTGAATTTTTCATGGAGGATGCAATTGGGCAGCTGGGTTTTGCTAATTTAATTAAATTTCACTTTTGGGATTTCTCTTGTAGCTAATTTTGCTGATTAAATTTTGGTTTTCATTACTATTAGCAATGTTGATTTTGATTATTTCCAGTGTTGGCTGTCCCTTGATTTTGTTTTTGGTTTGATTTTGTCATTCAATATGACATTGATAAACTGTGCAATAATGACATTGTATATTGTTCAGATTATAATTTGTTAGAGGATGTGAAAAGGGTAGCTGAATCTGCCCAGAGAATGCGTGTTAAATTATGTGGTTATCATCCTCAATTTAGGCTCCCTTTCCATCTTAAAGCCCTTCGGACTGCTGTGGCGAGAAAAGGGACTAAGCTTTTGTTACTTCCTGCTGGAATGGCTAAGAGGGAGAAGAATCAAACAAGATATAATCAAAGGTAATCTTCTATACTGTGACACACTGCCAGAAGAATTTGGTATTCGATTTTTGAGATATAGGTAGTCCTTCATTAGAAAAAGATCGTAACTTCAAGTCTCTGGATGATTGAGGCTAGATGACTCAATATCTTTTTTTGCCTTTGTTTTCACCTGTATTCTGCATGTTTTAAGGTTTTTGTTGTCAATTTCATGATTGTTATGTGGGTAACAAAAAGAGAGCAATTTATAGTTCATCTAGTTCATTTTCTCGAGGAGGTTAGATGTGGTGTGGACACTGTGAGGCACTGTTTTCAAGTGATTGTAGAAGTAGGTAGATTTCAATCATGATATGAAGGTAGAAAGAATAGCCAATATACTATTGCTATGCTTTTAGGAAATGTCCATCTTTAAAAGCAACTTTAGGAAACTGGATATTTGATTTTTAAAGACCCTTCATATATAAAAGGCGTCTACTTTTATTGCTAATGCTCCTCTCTCGGTAGAGTTATCTGGTAAATTTTTGTGTAAGGCTGCATGAAAGGTCAAATAATAGACTGCTAAATTAGTATATTCCAAGTAAACATAACCTTTTTGCAATGTGAAGGATGAGTATTATGGACATGTTATTTATGGTTCTACTTATCATTATTCTCCAGGAAGAAATCTATCTCATGGACAATTGAATGGCGATTTAATTCAACAGATGTTGCTTTACTTGAGCATGGGTGAGTACCTATACTTCTCGTATCATATTTCAATACAAACTTCTTTGCCCGAAGGCTCTGTGGGGTGTATCTCAGGGAAATTGACCTTTTGGTTTTCGCACACGAGTCATGTCATTTCTAATACATCTAGTGATGGGGCTTTCTAATAAATACCTGTGCAGTGTGCACGAGAGCACAACGTTGCGCTCAGTAATTGAGAAGCATCTACAGCCTAGCCCCTGGAAAAATAAGTTGAGGAGATTTTGTGAAGAACCTCTGGACAACCTCAAGCTTTTTATACGTAAATATCATAAGGTTCTTAATTTTGACCTCTTTGTTGTTTCTTGACAGTATCCTAGTTTTAGCTCTGTTAAAAGCTGTTCAGTGCCATCTGACAGTCAACTTCGGTTTGCAGGGCAACAAAGCACCATATCGTGAGCTTGATTTAGATACACCTTTGAACCAACTGTTTGGCGGTCTAGTTATTTTGGAGTACCCAATTATTCGTGTTTTCCTTCCATCTGATAGCTATGATTTTGAAGTTGTTAAAGATGTCAGGCCCCCTCCAAGTTGGCGGGACTCCAAGAGACCTGACAAGGATGATATTGCAAGTCCAGTGGGTGTTACTTTTAGAGAGGAAGAGATTAAAGAAGATGAAACTGCTCTTGAACCTCAAATTATCGATCTTCTGAAGAGATCAGAAGCGGATACGCACAAAACAAACTTGATTGATGTTCAGAAGATCAACGAGCAATCTAACGACTCGCCAAATAAGTCCCAGAGACATAAAATTGAAAGTGACATAGTTTTTCCCGGTGACGTCAAGGAAGTTGAAATGTTGGATGCAAAAAATGAGGATTTTGATTTCGACCAAGAGTTGATTGACGCATATTCATTCCTCATGGAAGAAAACAATCCGGATGACTATCTTAATTACAAACCTGATGGTGAAGCAGGGGACCATGTAGATACTAATGTATACTTTGCAGATGTGGAAGAATTGGAGGAGGGAGAGATTCCCAACTCTGAAGTCTGAATAACCTTGTCAAAGGAAATTCAAGGATGAGTCCTCGTTTGTAACAATTATCCCTCTGCAAAGCAGTTGGAGTAGATTACACAGGTTTTCTGGTATTTTAAAGTAACACCGCCTGGGTATAAGTTAGAAGATTATTTCTACTGATGCTGTTATTTTATAGAGGGTTTTCTCCTTGATACAGATAGTTGTTAAGCGATTTTTCCAATTTGTTGAAACCTTTGTTGTAAACTTGTAACACTGCAACACATGTGAAAGTTTACTTTAAAATTATTACTGTATCTTATCTCTCTTACTGTATATTGAGTATCATTTTGTTTTAATGAATAATTCAACGCATTGAATTAGGAATACTGTATTTTGGAATTAGAGATTTGATTGTATGCTCCTTGTTTGTCAATTTCATTGCAATTGGTAGGGCTATGCAGAGTGCGGTTTAGACCACACCAAACCGCAAACCAAACCGAAATTTTGCGGTTTGCGGTTTGGAAATTGCGGTGCGGTTTTCAAATTTGACCAAACCGCGGTTTTGCATATCAACTTCATAATCACAAAATAAAACTAATTTTTTTAATCATTATTTGTGAGGTAAAAAAATTGTGGAAAAACCGCAAACCGCACCGCACCAAACCGTATTTTGCAGTGCGATTTGGTACGGTTTGTATAGAATTGCGGTTTGAAAAAATCACAAACCGCAATTTTGCGGTTTGAGATCCAAACCGCACCGTTTTCAAACCGCAATTTTGCGGTTTGAGATCCAAACCGCACCGTGCACAGCCCTAGCAATTGGGATATTATCCGTGTTGATAGTTCATTCTTTCCAAGTCCAAGTTTAATTGTTAGCTGCAGAGGTATTGCAAAGGTGTGTTTTGGGGAGAAATTGCCCTTATTTTCAATGGTACGTTAAGGCCTGAGGGATTCGAGCAAGATAGTATGTTAAAGAATGGTGCATGAATGCAAAGGATGTGTTAAGACTATGTGGGAAGCTGGAGCTAAAGCTACTGTCTTGTTGTACCATGTCGTTGTGGAAGATCAAATAACAGTAAAGATGAATGTAATGGCTGAGGAAGAGAGCTAGATTCCGCTACTTGATAGAGGTTGAAGCTAAATTGTGATGCAGCTTTGTTTAGGTGGAGTGGTCGGGTTAGAAACTGTGACAAGTAACAAGGTGGCGGATGTGGTAGCTGCTGCTAATACCTAATATTGTGCTTGCTGAGAATCAGATATTGCAGAAATGAGTGCAGTTAGTTGCCCTATATGCTGCAGTTATATTAGCCAACTGAGGTATTAAAAATTGTTTTTTTCTAACTGTTTACTGTAGTTGGTTTAGCTAGTAAGCATCACGTAGGAAATGCTACATTACGGCAAAATCTCTCCCTAAACTACCCTTAACGGCAAAACCTCTTAAAAGTTCGAAAATGCTATCTCATCAAGGTAAGAATAGCTTTGGAATAAAAGGCAGAAGCTAAACATAAATTCCAATCACAGATTACAAGCACAGTTAGTCACCAAAAGTAGGTCAGGTTTGAATTTGATCAACTCGTCATGAATCTTCATGGGAAAGAGCAAAAACACATTTTCCTAGGATGAAGGATCAGCATTGTGCCATCCCTGAGTGCAAGGTGGAATGCTCATGAACTCGTCAAATTCCTTCACATGAACATCACAGCATTTCCACTGGCACAAGAAAGCCACTCTTAGTATTCAAGGACAACAAAAACGCAATATAGGTTTGCATAAAAAGCTAGGTGTGAAATCTCACTCCTCTCATCCGGTCATGGAAAACGGCAGGCCCTGGATGATAGTTGCATGCAGTATCATGATTATCTATCTCTTTAAAAGTTTGACCACAACCCTTATTCTTACAAATTTGAGGCTCAGTTATGCTGATTGTCTTCCGGGGAGGAGCAGAAGCATTTACAATCACTTCTGCAGCAGCGACCGCCTGTGGTACCACAGGTTTAGGATTTGGCTGTGAACCTGAAAAGATGTAAGTTGTTACGTCAGAGATTGAAAGAAACAAAATACTCTGTTAATTTTGCACTTCCAATGAGTTCAACATATGACAGACACAATAAATTGGTATTACGAGTAAGGCAGAGCATCAACTATTGCCCGGATAAAAAGCTCACACACAAAGAGAGTAATACCATGGTCTGAGCAGAAAAATCCCTGCCTGCATCTAGAGCAAGTTTCTTTTGCTGAAGTAGCTGTTGTAGAAGCTGAGATGGGACTAGGAACAGGTGTCGGGTTCCTAGATCTTGGGGCAGCCTTAGTGAGCACAGGTTTCTCAGTTGTGTGTTTACCCGTTTTGCATCTTCAATGTTTGAAACGAAGACAACACAAGAATTAATAAAATAAAATAAAAATTCAGGAAAACCAAATGAATCTATTGTAATCAATATGCAATGCAGTCGAAATAAAAATTCAATGAATACGTTAGCGGCTGCTAGTGACAAAAGTATCAATAATAATGCATATGCAATGTACATCGGAAATGGCAAACACATACCCTGGAATATCCATAAACAAGCTGAAGTCATGACTTTTTTTCTTGCAACAGCTCCACTCTTTCATTCCATCATGAAATATAGGCTGAAATTACAGAAAGAGGCTTAGAAGTTAAAATGTATAAATAAAGAGATTAGTAATATAAAAACATTTGGAACAAGAATCAAAATGAGAAAGAACTCATAGAAAAAATTATATAATTATATAAGATAAAAAGAGAGGAGGCACTTACTCCCTGATAAACAAAAGGAAATCGAACAAGTCCAGCGCCAATATGCAATAAAGATGAAACATACGTCAGCTACAACTACAAGTTACAGCGCCCAAGCATTCATGCTTGCACGAAATTATGTAACAATACGTAAATTCCAAATAAATCAAGCAAAATATATTTCCACCAAACGATGAAGAGCAGTTGCTAGAGGGAAGAAAAAAAAAGTGCTGGTCAACGCAAAACAACATCTCAGAGTCTCATGTTTTCTCTCAGAAGGCACAATTAACAAGACCAAATCATGTATATGATCCATGACTGATATAGGTGAAAGGCTCTGCTTCCAAGGTGCTTCGAAGCCACCAGCGTTCAAATGCTTTCAAATAAGAGTATTGACTTTGATAAATCACTGTATAAATGTTACTCTAGAATACAGATTTTGAGTCAGCTACCTAGAGCCCCAAAAAAAGACCATTTCAACACCATTCTTAAGTTATTATCTACACCAAAGACTACTAATTTCTGAGAAGTGGCCTAGCAGGCTCACACTAAACTCCATAATCTATATGTGGTTCCTCATCGAAGCAATTAGAGAAGAAGGGGAAAGGGGTTTACGGGGAGGAGACATAAAGGAACATAAGGCATGCGGATGAAGAATATACTTTCTAAATCAAGGAAATGTTTCTCAGGCTTGGATTTTCAATCTATAAATATCAAAAACTATTGCTACTCTTTCAAAACCTGACAAAGAAACTAGATATCCTTAGAAACAACCGCCACCACCTCCTTCCGCCAACTACCAAACACTGCCTAAGTAACTCATCAATCCCAACTCCGTTGAAAAGCAAAGGTATTGCCAGATTTGTCACTAGACACAACTACACAAGGCCATAAACATAATCGAAAACCAAAAGATTGCCATAAGTTATCCTCATTTTTTTTCTTTTGACATTCAGTCGATATGGTTTCTCAATAATTTACAGCATTGTTGAGCATAAATTCAAAGCTAATCTTTTCACTACTTGTATAATCTTATTTCCTTCGTTCCTTCAACAACTCATAAATTACAATCAACAAAGTCATTCAATACACCTATTTTTTTTACCTCCTAATAATCAATCAATAACTGAGTTAATTAACATAGTCTCAATTTCAACAACAACAACAAAATTCACTATAAGCTCATAAATTTAAACACAATTGAAAGATTCTGCATTCAAATTGGATGTATTTTCACACAAACTTAAAGGTGAAAAATCAAAAAATTTATGTAACAATCATAGTTTAGCAGATCAAATTAAAAAAAAAAAAAAAAAAAAATTAAGGGATGAAAATAGAAATTACCGAATCGTGGAAAACGCAAGAACCTTCTGGATTATGATCGAGCGTAAAGGTAGCATTGCAGCCGATTCTCTGGCATCGAAGGTGAACTGCTTGTTCTGACATTCTCTCTCTCTTTTTTCTTTCTCAGTTGTTTGGAAGAAACTTGACCAGATTCTTCCACAACTCACTTTACCAGAATGGTCGGGGACACACTCAGTGAACAAGTAGGAGATCAATTGTACTACAGAGTAATTATTATATTGTCTTATACTCTTATCTATTTAAAGTGTTTAATGTATATAGACAATATTATTAGTACATAAAAGTATAAAATGTAACTTAATACCAGTATGTTTAGATCCATCTATCTAAGCTTTTAATGGTTCTACTCGTGAGGAGAGTCTTCTAATATTCTTGTATTCATTTTATTTCTTATCTTAATACTTTTACCAACACATCCCAAGTCTAGTGGGAAAGTTTCATGGCAAAAAGATCACTTAATTACTCAATGTTGGTTAACGTTGGACATATATTAACCTACATTAAGCTAGTTGAATTAGTGTCCCTTGTATAAGTTGTATTAACTCTATTCCATACTACATTTATTACGTAGTATTATAAATTTTGATGCATAAAGTCTTTCTAAGGAATTCCTTACTTTTAAAAAAAATTGATGCAGATATTGGTCTCTGATAAATGACAACAAATTGCTCCTGAAAATAAATTTACATAAACTGAGAAAAGAATTTGCATTGTATTCATTTATATTAGAAACTGAACTTTAAATTAAGGTTACAATGTTACAATAAAACTAGAATCTTATGGAGGAAACAAAACTTCCAATATACTGTTGTACTACAAAAGCTCTACACTTCAAACTTTCCTGGTCTATCCCTAGGTTGTGTACGGTAACTAAGATCAATGATAATGACAATTGTTTTGCACTCGTTGAAGCATCGCCGAGACCCACGAGCACATCGTGAAGAAACATATGTACACAATCCAAAAGAATACAAAATTTGTGTAGCAATATATATACATCCATGTCCCAACTATCAAGTTCTGTCAAAGTTAACATGATGCAGGTTCGTCACAAGCTTCACTCTGAATATCACACCCGAAGCCACTTCTTTTAGAAAATTAATATGCTTAGACGATGATACAAATTGAAGGTCACAACATTCTATTGCGTGTATCAACCATTGGAGTTCTCTCCTGCAGCTAAGACAAGAAGGAACCAAAATGCAAAATGAAATTAACAATCAGTTTTACTTTGTAAGCTTCATTTAGTATACCAGGGCCTCAGCCCAAATCAAGGGAAATCTCTAGATCAGTCAAGGGATAGAACTTAAGAGTTGGGGGAGCACCCCTCTCCAATGTGTCCTGGCGAGGGGTTAAACTCGTGACCTCTATGTTAAAGGCTTCTTACAGTGGACAAGTAACCATGTAGAGGTTACCATGCAGAGGATACCATGTGTAGGTTACTGGTTTCTCTTTTTTACACAGCTCATTAAATGTGTTCATAGAGAATTCACAGGCACACCCATAATTTATGAAGATGGTAAAAGGAGTAAAATGGATGGTTGTGATACTTGTGAAAGCTCGTCTCCACTAATATTCTTGCATTTACAGGTTAAAAGTAAATATTACGTTGCTTAAGTGTAAATTGCTCTTGCTCTTACAAGTTATAAAGTGACTGTATTTACTATCTCACACAGCAGCCGCGAGGGCAAGAAATTATATCAAATTATGCAAGCATGCCAACATAGCCATGTGCATGTGTAAATGAGAGAGGGAGAGAGAGAGGGAGAGGGAGAGAGAGAGAGAGAGAGAACCTCAATTGGTATGCTGCTTTCAGAAGGGAACCAATGCATGAGAACTCCCAAATGTGTCAAAGCCGGCATTAATTTAAACAGGATAGGAGTGGTAACCTTCAGTAAAAACAAGATTTAGCCGTAGAACTATGTTGTAAAAGCTAGACAAGCTTTTTATGCACAGTAAATAATCATCAGCAAAAGTAATAGTATATGCTATCAGAAAAAGCTTACCAAGCTAAGAGCAGTTGTTCCAAGAAGTAAAAGATACATTTTCCCCTATACAAAAAATAAAAAATCTGTAAGTCGCATTAAAATACAGGAGGAAAGTTGCTGCTAGCCACCTTCACTGAAATACAAAAAAAAGGAGTAATCCTAAGTGGAGGATGAAAAGACACAGCCCCAAAAGGGTGAAAGAAATGAGTAGAAATAAACAAACTCATTTTGATGCATCCAGCTTTTAGCTTTATTATCTCTACCAATGTAACCTAGCAGAAACTACAAGTAGCACTCTAGGAAATGCCACACCAAGCAAAAGAGGCAATGCAGAACTGAACAAAACTCAGAAATCAGAAGTCAAGATTAAATTAAGCATGCTATCAGAGTAATCATACAAAACATGCACAATAGAGTCCATTACTGCAAGGGCTTGGGAATTTCAAAAAGTATACAACCTTACTCTTGACCAGTCAAACTAACAAACAAGTTGGCCACCAAAGAAAAAATCACTGATAAAAAAGTGAGATCATTTGTAAATTAAGAACAAACACATGATGGAGCTCAATTCTAGAAAGACTTTTCACAAATTTGGAATACTACTCACCGTTCTCCGCGTCACCGTTGTACTAGAGATATCAACCACGTTTAAAAAAAGGAATATAAGGAAACACATAGCACTGTGATCGCGTTGGCAAAGCTCTTGATTTTGCCAAACAATCAACGAAAACAGATACAGCGAAAGCTTTTATTTTATATAGAAAATAATATTGAATTATGGAAAAGAATTTGAAGTACACAAGGAGTGCCTCAAAGTTAACAAGAATAGTTGTCTATCAACCACATTGGCATTATTTCGAATATACTCTAGATATACACTAAATTTATGCAAGGGATTCTCAGAATAGAGAGCAAAAAACAGATTTTCAATCATCCATTACCGGTTTCCAGCCATGTGTCCCCAAAATAGACAAGTAAGCTGATTTCAAGATATGATGCCAAACAGAAACAAACATAATGGTTTTTCAAAAAAGAGAATACCTCGATAAGGTGAAGATTAGAGGCACGGCTTAGAAGAACAAAAGCGAATTCTCCAATTTGAGCAAGTGACAATCCAACCTGTTTGTGTCATTTCAACATAAGTCAATTTCGTGCAAGCTCTCTACCTTCATAATAAAACGAACTTCAGAAGCTATACTTACAAGAAGAGATGTCCTGATACTGTAACCAAAAGCCTTAGTTACCACAGCCGTAACAGATGTCTTAAACACCACAACCAAAATAACTGATGCAACCAATATATCCACATGAAGCCAAAGAAATTGCACACGTATCAGCATTCCAATGCTGGAAAGGAAAAGAGCAGCAAACAGATTACGAATTGGCTCCACCTGCAATGTACAAGTTAAGAAACAAATACTGTTCATAAAGGCTTCATATGCAAATATAGCTCAGAAGCAAACAGAAGTACTAAAGATTAATGGCAAATTTGTTGAGCAGACAATTATTACAGAAGCTTCTATAACAGTGACACTGACATTTTATCTGTTTTCAAAATTGACAACAGCTGAATACTGACATATTTTTTCTTGGTAATGTAACCAGCTATAGGCAAGCTTATAAATGAACTACATTCGAATAAATGAATTCTGGTTCATATACAGAAGCATACCTGGTCCAAAGTGTGCTGTGCAAAGTCCGTCGTAGAGATCATGACCCCAGCTACAAATGATCCCAGTTCCAGACTAAGACCAAGCTTATCACTGCACTGGAAAGACCGTAAACAACAAAAATGAGCACAACTGATAATCACTCATTCTATGTTTAAAAAAGATACCCAACACTGAAACACCAACTGTTTCAATTTCATCCAGTTCCAAACAGTGAAACCTTCATGTTAAAATAACAAAATATTATCCAACAATAATCTCACTTAAAGGATACACTGATACAGTAACAAAATTCCCACAAACAATTGTTCTTTACCCAAACTCCCAACCCCCATCAAAGAGAGCTTAAGATCTACATGACAAAATACGAAATTCTACAGTATGTCACTAGTAGCCACCCACATAAGAAAATATATTCCAAACAACCACAGGTATTTAAGTACCAAAGTAATTAAGATCCATGACATTGAACTAGTACAAAAACTACACAAATTTCTTCAGAATAACACTTGTCATAATTCTATATGTCATAACAACAGCGATCTCAACTTTCAAACCAATTGTCTAAATCAATAGCATATTGGTGTTACTTTAAAGACATGAAGTAAGCTAATAATAAAAATTTAGAAGTCATTGCATTGACACTATTAGATATCCCAAAATTGGTGATGCAATTGAAACATTAGCACACAAGCTATAAACAAAACAAAGATTCCAGAATTGACAACTTAAGTTGGAATATTGGATTCTAGTAAAAGCCAGCATTTGTTTATGCATAGACGTACATGCATAAATTATTATTATTGTTATTGTTATTATTATTATTATTTTAAACTATTTTAAGTCACAAGTGCGAATTATTTCAGGCTGGAGCAAATAAAAAACCTAAGAACAGATCTTATGGAAACACAAAAGACAGGTTATTTGAAAGAAGCAAAAGAAGAAAAGTGATTGTGTTGGTAGTACTTACCCAAGCAGATAGCAAGCAGAATGCCACTAGAGCAAGTTGATAAAGTTCATTTGTCTGAAAAGGGAGAGACATAAATGCCAATCAACATATTTATTAAAAGTAGATGGTAAATTGGATAAATAAATTTTAAAAAAGGCGTAATTTAGTAATAAGAAGAAAGAAGGGAGATTATAATATACTATTTGATCTTGTGTACTATGTAGGCACAACAATGAACATAGTAGGAAAATATATTTTGACAATGACTGGTCAAAAACCAACTAGAAAAGCATGTGAGTTAAGGACAGTAAACATCAACCACAATCAGCAATGAATAAGGTCGATACTTATTCATTGCTATTAGCCTATCAAAAGCCTCACATTTCTAGTTTGTCACTTTCAATGTGACGAGACTCATGAGAGTATTTGGGGAAAAGGAAGGGAAGAGTAGATGCATCCATATTCCCTTGTCTTGATATGCAAGGGGCTAAAAAAGAAGAAAAGAAAATGGAATTATAAGGATCCATTCTCCTTCCTGTTTAAATGAAAATCATTCAATAGTTTTGAAATTTTGGAAAAAATGACAATCCTCTTCTTATTTTTCCTCGCCCCTACCCTCCCCTCCCTTTCCTTTACCTCTATTTGTTTCCTTCCCCTCCCTTACCCCCATATTGGAATCCAGACATTTGTTCAATTATTACCACCAAATGAAAGTACAACCAACTAATTAGGGAATGCTGAATCACTGATAAATATTAAAGCATCTGCCTCAAGAATCAAACTCTCCAATGTCATATAACATTCCTCACCATACTTGTGACTGTTGTGTTGTGAGAGAATTTTGATTAACATTTGGGCTCCTTGGTTCTCCTACAAAAGCCTCTTAAATGAAGATCCTTTCAGGACTAATGTTTAAGGAGACCCACACAATATAATGCTTATTAGCTACCAAATTAAGTATTAAGAATTTATGGTCCCCGTGACCCCATTAACTGCAATTGACCACCAATTTTTTATTAAATGTGAACTCCATTGGCTAACTCAGAAAATTTACAAGTTTGAAGTTTCAACTATTACTTTTACAGGGAACAAAATACTATCACTCACCTGAGATGACAGCTGTATCATCAGCTTTAGAAAACGAGGTATAAATGACCACGTTAATATAGATGCAGTAGCAAGGTAGAGAGACAATATCAACAACCTGAAATTAGAAGTCAAAAATAGAATGATTAAAAAAAAAAAAAAGTAACATCAAATGGAGTAAACGTTGGGACAAAATATTTCGAGTTAGAAACATAGTTTTGGATGTGGAAGTTTGATAACAAAGTGATCTTGCAGACTGCATAAAATACTTACAATCTACCCATTGAGGCAATTCCCATCAGAAGGCCACTGTTACCACCCATAACTGGAAGCAATGCAAACAATAACCCCACAGCACAATCCTGAAATCTCTCAAAGCAGAATAATAAACAGATATGAAACAATAACTAATTCAAGATCCAAGTTCAACAAGAAGTTCAATTTTAAATCACCTGAAAGATAAGTATCCCAATAGCTACTTGGCCATGTAGAGCATTGTTCTGGTTTCTTTCTATCAAAAATTTCACCACCTAGATAAAGATTTACAATGGAAGATTGATATGTGATGAATGCAGCCACATTATTAAAATATAATAAACTGTCAGGCTACAGCAAGAGTGCACAAGGATATACCACAGCTGTTGACGACATAGATAGGAAAGAACCCACAAACACCCCCTCCGACAATTTTCCTCCGCATATCTGCAGGGATAGTCATATATTGTCACAATAACCACCTCGACGTCAAATTTATGCCTAAAAATTAATTCAGTAAAGTACAACTTTGGATCCTGAGACTTTACCATAGCAGTTATGCCACACAAAAACATGAATACGATAATTTGAAGCATCCCACCGAGAGCAGATACAGGCCCTACTGCTCTGAGCTGCACCAAATTACAGTTAATACAGCTTCTACCATAAAATATGAATACATTTATGGTTTTGATTTATTTATGTTCATTTGCTCAAAATGAACACATATACTTAATGTAATGAAACTCTCCATCAAAATAGTCAAATTAACAGCAACAGCAAGAACACAGATAAAGATATAATCAGGGAAAGAAAAATAAAATAAAAAAATCTTGCCTTGGTCATGGAAAATTCCAATCCTAAAGCAAATAGAAGGAACACAACACCAAATTGTGCAACAGTTTCAACCTATACAGAAGAAAACATGTAAAAAAAATACAGAACGATTAGATGGCTGAAGAAACAAGTTCCCAAAATGTGGTAAAGCTAAACACATGTAAAAAGAGAAAATTATCAGAGGCAATGGATTAAAAGCTACACACAAAAAACATTCATCTATACAAGTCTCTCTTCTCAAAAGGTCACACTTTACAGTTCAAATTTCAATACACAAGTCATAGTAACAAATGTTGATACAATACAGTAATAGACTGGCTTTAGGAGGGGTAATTTGGGAAGTCTGCAATTAAATCAGAATTATAAACCCAGAAAATCAGTCCATTACAAATACCCCTTCTCTCTCTCTCTCTCTCTCTCTCTCTCTTCTCTCACACACACACAAGAGGAAAAAAGAAATGTTCTATGTTCACTGTTGTACAATAAACTACATATTTCCTTCTCTACATGCTGTCTTTAAAATACTTCTGTGGATTTAATGACCTTGACGTAAAATATGATATTAAGGCGACCACAAAAGCTGAGGAAGAGCACGAAAAACTAAATATTCGTAAATCATACGAACAAATACTCACGACAAATTATAAGCAGAGCAAGTCAAAGAATTTCTAATATATTTATAAAGAAACAAGGCAGTCTAACTTCACCTGAACCATTTCACTGATACAATTTAGACCTCCTGGCCCAATCATTGATCCCGCAAGGAGGTAGCCAACAATAACCTGCATTTCAATTATGAAAGCCAAAAATTTAATATGAATAAATGCAGACAAATAAATTCATTATCTAGATTCTAGAATCAACAGCAAGTATAAAACATAAGCCAACTGCAAATAACCCCCCCTCCTCCCCCCCACCCCCCCAAAACCACCACCACCCAAGCAGTAAGAAAAAAAGTACCGGTTGTCCCAAACACGAAAAGATAATCCCTCCAACGGCAGCAGATACAATCAGTATAACCAAATCTGAGATTAACCTGTTCCAAATGCAAAGCAAAGACAAATTGTAAATCTAGCAAAATTAATATCAAAAAGAAAATGCACCACATAAACACCTAGTTGTGTTCGCATAATAATGAGTAACTTCAGTTATTTGAACTTAAGAAGAACAAAAAAATAAGGAAAAAACATATAACTTAATAGTTGACAGACAGATGTAAAAGGCAATTAGTCACATACCTAAAATCCACTTGAAGAATTGGATATTTTGATTTCTTGTTAGACATCACAAACACATTATCCTGCAGGAGAACAATGTAATGAGAGCTGTCCAAAAAATTCCATGAAAATTTGAATAAATTATTTGCAAAGTACTTCGGAACAAGAATGCATCCATTTTTGGACTTTGTAGCACCTTTTTATCAATCAATGTAGCCATGTCATCAGACTCTTCATTATCCAAAGAGAAAACATCTTGGATCTGAAAGGCCTTTGTTCCACTGCCACGGTTATGTTGGCAACAAAGTAAAGAATAAGAATCAAAATACCAAACTAAACAAAGTAAACTATTCTACTTTACCTTTCTGGCAAGAATAAAATAAAAATAAATAACAAAAATCTAGATTGAATCAGATACGACAAATGCAATAACTACTGCATAATGCCTCCAGTTATTTTCTTACTTTGCTTCTCCTGTCTCATTTTTCTTGCCTTTTTCATGAGAAATTTTAGCAACAGTCTCAAGCTCAGCCTATTGAGAAAGAATAAAATCAATTAGAAGTTGTCTTCAGATAAACACCCAGACAGCAACCTCATGCTTCAAAAAAGACCCACAACTTCTTGTAGCTTACATGCGTAAATTAACTATTTCATATGAGAGAAATGAAAGAATATTAGTTATAGAACAGTAACTCGATGACAGACAATCAATCAATCAAAACCTTAATCCCATAAGTGGGGTTGGCTACATGAACCAAAAGTGAAGGAAGAAAAAAAATAATAAATAAAATAAATAAAATTAAAAACTTCACCCTATGATATTAAAAGAAAAGTAATGAAGAAAGATGTAACTATGCAATAAAGTGTATGAAGAAAGGGCATTACCATATCAAAACCAGTGGGGCTCTTAAACGGGAGTGTGAAGGAAGAACTTAGGGGTCATTTGGTTCAACCGTTTAACAGAATGGATTGGAAATCCCATACCATGTTTAATATGTTTGTTTAATATCGGAATGGATTTGTATTTATTTAGGACTTGTATCTAGGGTGGTATGGATTTAGAATCTTAGGGGTTGAGGTGGGGATTAGATTGTAGGGGATTGGTATGGAGTTAGATACTAATATTATAAGGTTCCATAGCAAAAAATGTCCATTGTAGGGGATTGGTATGGAGTTAGATACTAATATTATAAGGTTCCATAGCAAAAAATGTCCAACCAAACATTGGAAAGGATTTGAAGCCATTCCAACCCATTCCCCTAGTGGATGATCAGCCACCCAATATGAGAAATGGGGCTTTTAAATAGGACGTAAGTTTTAAGAGGAATGGGGAGCTTTTGTTTAAGGACAGAGAAAGTAATTGCTTCATAAAAACTAGATATGCTATCAAATTCCGTTCAAGCTTCCAAAGATCACTACATCGACATGTAGATCATATGGTGCCAAATACACAATTAGCAATTAGTAATTTTCAAAACCCCTACTATTTTCCTCTTATTCAGCTATCCATAGGATAATATGTCACCTCGCATGTACTTTACAAGACAAATAACATTAAGTTTGAACATCGGACCATACATGCATATGTTCATCTATAATTGATTAACGATGTTGGGGGTTCTAGGATTGATAAAAATTGCATGACAAAACTAATTTATTAATCAGAGAATAAGAAGCCCATCTCGCTCCCCCCTGTCTACTACAGTCCTACATGAAGTCACCTAGATGCCAGATGACGTGCTAAATGCATCATAAACAATCGGCTTACTGTTCATCATCATTATGATCTTACATAAGACCTTAATAGTCTACTGACTAGTGACTACACTCAATAGTTCGTTAATAGACAAGGGGAAAAAGAACATCATGTGCAGAATACTTAAGAAGTTAAGCAGCCAGACCACATAGTACAATTTTAATTTAAATACTTTCACACTCCAAGTAATCAGAAAATCAGTCCAAATATAAGCCTTGTAATAAAAACAGAGTACCTGACAATTATCAAAAATAACTATTAAAAATTATTGAAATCAGAAACAAGAATTTGGAGGCATTGTGAACCTACTTGCTTGTCAGCAACACTGGTGTTGAAACTACTTCCATCAGAGCCTGGAAAATATATCATAAGAGAATTTTAAAAATGACATTATCATCAAGTGATCAAGAAAACAACCTCAACATCAATTAAATGCAGACCTTAAAACTCGTTGAAATTTTAAGTGAACATGCTTCTTTAAATTCCTTAAAAGGAGGGCCTTGTGAAAACTGAAAACATAATTGGATGTCTAACAGTACCAAAAGAAAAATGAATTAATAAGTTCCTAGACACAATCTAGAGATGAAGGGAGAGTAAAAATTATTTATTTGACTAAAAAAATCACCAGATCCAGAAAAGATTTCACGGACAAATTAGGGTAAAAGGTTGCCACAATATACCTATTCTATTAAAATAAACAAAAATAAGTTTGGGAGGGGTTGGACTTTGGAGATAAAAGACAGTTGAAGGGGATAGTTTGCAAAGATCAATTAGGAACCACATTGGATAAAAAAAAAAATATTTAACCAACATATATGAGGTTAAGTATCAGCTAGTAGCAACTTAAATCTTGATTAAGTCACAAAGCAATCACATCCCGCGAGTAAAAGGTGTTGACTTCAACAAAACTTAAAAGTTTTCAGAACTGAGCTAAAAGAGCTAGCTTTTCAGCTTTGGCTAAGACAAAGTATTAAAATTGAAACAAATGAAGAAGAAATCCTGGAACAAGGCCACAAGGGTCACAATATGCTGCACCACCACCACCAAAAAATGACCCTTCCATAATTTGTCTACAAGAATCCTAGGATAAGGCGGGTTCACAATATAAAAAATAAATAAGATATAAAGTCACCCCTTAATTGAGTAAAACTCACCCTAATATTCAATGTATATGTAAAAGTCTCTCCATAAGCCCATCTATTGTTCAAAGTCATCCTCACTCAGCTAGATAAACATAATAATGTGATTGTATACATACATCATCAAAGTTCGTCGAAAGGCAACATATCCAAACTTAATGACAGGCACGGACCAAGGAATCCGCCACACTAGCCATATCAACCAAATGCATAAGAATAAGCTCGCAATTAAATATACTCACTCTTAGTGCTATTTCTTGCACCATGAAGTAGTAAACTAGTAATCATGCTTAAGCAAATCATATTCCTAAAGTCAAAATTACCTCATACAATACATACCAACGCAATCAAATGCAACACTTCATTCAACTAAATTTAAACAACTTCAACTCAAATTAAAACACAAAATCAGAGTAACAACCAAAACAAACACCAATTTTCTCAACTTTCACCAATGCTAACACTATAATTCAACATTCAATTAAAAGATAAGCTGAAATCCACAAAACCCCTATAAATAAATCAAAAAAACCAAAATCATCAAACCTTCAGGCTGATCATTCTCAGAAAACTCCTTCTCCAACACATGATCGATCATCTTGGCGATAGTACCCTCACCATCAGGCGGCGTAGAATTGAAGATATTATTACCATAAAATCTCTCCCGCATTTCCTGGTCAGATCTCGCGCAGTTACAGAAATTGACGCCGATTTCAGCAACCATTAAAACCAAAACAATAAAAAACCAAAATATGCTGAATCTCCAACTGAAAAAGGGTTCCACATTCGCCATTTTCGGAAGCAAGAAAGATGAAGGAGGGTTGAATTTTCTCTCTCCTAAAATCCGGCGAGAGAAAGAGGGAGGTTGGAATGAAAAGGGAGAAGATGGAAAGAAAGGGGAGTTTGAGTTCGTTAAAAAATGGGAAATTTGAAATAAAAATAATTGGGATTTATGATGTTAGCGGGATCACCATTGGTTGCTTCAAATGGCAACGATGTGTGCCTTTTTCTTTTCTTTTTTTTTTTTTTTCCTTTTTTTCCCTCTTGTATGTTTTGACTTTTTTAGGTGCAAATCTAACTCTTTTTATTAGACTTTTCTTACATGGTTGTTGAAGCTACTCGGGTAATTTAATAATCATATTCTCCTATTTGGGTAAGTACCACTTTCGTTCTCTTTTAAATTGTAAAACGTGGAGGAAATCTTTTAAGAAAGGAGAAGTAAAAAAAAAAATAATAATAAATTGTGATGAGGTGAGAGAAAGATAAAATTATTAGTCAAATAAAATTAGGAAATTTTGACTTTTGGTACCACAAAAACATCCTTGTTTCACTTTTGCTACCTCTTAAAAATTTTATTTTATTTTGCTACCACCTAAAATCACATAATTTAAATTTCACTACCACTTAACGGAATCCGTTAGGATTCTGTTAAGTTTATTCAAAAATAAAAAAAATAAATAAAAAAAAATGTTTAAAAAAAAAAAAAAAAAAAAAAACCCAGCCACCGTACCCTCAACTGCCCCCCCTCCCGTCAGCCACCCTCCCCTCTGCCGGCGGCCGCGCTTGGGCGAACGCCGGCGATCCCACCCAAAACCCTTTCCCCCACCAACGGACGACAATGATGATGATTGTAGGGGGGTCGATTCGAACAAGGGGAAAATCGAAAAATTTTGACCTCTAATTTGACAAGTTGTGTCGAAATTAATTGAGGGCTTTGTTTTCTTTAGATTTCAATTGCAAAATCATGTAAATAATTGTTATTTTCGTTTTGAAATCAAAGAGTTTGATTCAAAAATTTTAAAAACCCTAACTTTTTCCCCAATTTGATTTTGAATGAAAATCATCATATTAATTCAATAAGATTGAAAATTGATACCAAAATCTTGTTTTGGGATTAAAATCGAACATCAAACCGCTAGAAAATCCTAATTTTGATTCGAAATTCTTCGAATTTTGGGACTTTGTTTTCTTGTTCGTCGCGGCACCGTGGCAAGGCGTTTGTTCCTAGTTGCGCGGCATTCAAGTGGGCGTTGGCTGGTTGCGGTGGCTAGGCGTTTTCAAGCGTCGACGTTGGTGGCTGAAAGTATGTTCCTGGCTGCTACGTTGGCTGCTGCAGCGTCTGTTCATGGCTGATGCTGCTGCGTTTGTTCATGGCTGATGCGTTGGCTGGGGAAAGGGGAGGAGAAGGGGTGGGGATCCGCCAAGGGGGATGGCTGGGCTGGTGTGGTTGGAAGTCGGGCCAGGTGGCTGTGGGGTGGAGGGGGAATGGCAGGGATCGGGAGGGGATTGGTGGCTGGGGAAGGAGGAGAGAGAGGCAGGGTTGCAGTGGGGCCCACAAACGGCAATATTAACAGATTTCGTCAACTGGTAGCAAATTTTAACATATGTGGTTTTAGGTGGTAGCAAAATAAAATAAAATTTTTAAGAGGTAGCAAAAGTGAAACAGAGGTGTTTTAGTGGTACCAAAAGTGAAAATTTTCATAAAATTAAGTTGCAATTAATTTGTAATTTTTAAACAATGTATACGTTGAGATTTATAAGAAAAAGTATATGTGAAGATGGTGGAATTGGGTTTAATCTAATTTCGACAAAGTATATAAAACACGTATTTTTCCGAAAATGGTGGAATCGGGTTTAATCTAACTTCGACAAAGTATATAAAACACGTATCTTTTCAAAAATGGTAGAATTGGGTTTAATCTAATTTCGACAAAGTATATAAAACACGTATCTTTTCAAAAATGGTAGAATTGGGTTTAATCTAACTTCGACAAAGTATATAAAACACGTATTTTTCCGAGAACATAAAAAGTGTTACATAAATAGATAAAATCAAATATGTTAATTTTTGTTTATTAAGAATCCCATCATAAATTTTTGGAGAAAAAGAAAATGGGATTTACAAATGTGTACATAGAGATTTGAATCCCAAACCTCATTCAATGAAAACCACATGTATTACCATCTTAGCTAGATTTAAATCATGTTTTATTAATCCACATTTTAATATAATACAAGTATTAGAATGTAGAATAAAATAAATCCAAATAAGTTATTGTTGTCATTGTATTCTAATTTACCCACAATATAAAAATTAACAAGTCTTTTAAAGCGTCTAATATAAAAATGAAATTATTCAAAGTATTACCCGGAGCAAATTCCGGATCACACACTAGTTTATTATTATTACATGCTTCTATGGATTCTTGATTAAAACATTTCATGAAGAATGGAAGAAATCCATTTAATAAATAGAAATAAGCTGAAAAATATTGTTGCACCTTTAATCAAAAAAGCTAAGTATAATTAATTTAATCAAAAAAATTGTTACCTAATCATTGATTCATCTGAGCTCATTCGTTCATGTACAAGAAATAAGAAGTTGATCGAAATTAAACTTCTTAAAGAATACATGTACTACTTTACTGTACTAATTGAGTCGTTGGCTATTCATTCAAAAGCTACCCAAAAAAAAAAATCGAAACTCTTGATATATCGCTTATCTCATCATCATGTTAAAAATGGGAAAAATAAAAGGGACATATCTAATTGAACCTGCTTATTTTGAATAAATTTTTTTCTATTACAAGTATTTAAAAGCTGAACAGATAATAATGATAATAAAACAAGCTAAGTATAATTAATTTAATAAAAAAAATTGTTACCTATTAATTGATTCATTTGAACTTAATTGTTCATATACAAGAAATAAGAAGTAGAAATTAAAATTATTAAAGAATACAAATACTACTTTATTGTACTAATTGAGTCGTTGGCTATTCATTCCAAAGCTACCGAAAAAACAAAAGGGATTTGTTAAACATCGCCCGCAAATTACCATATAAAGCCCACAAATATGACTTGGTGTGACAATTATGCCCATTTTCTAAAATTGAACAAATCTCGATTTAAAAAATGTGGAGCCGTACTGGCTCGCCGGGGGAGACCGGAGGGCAGACCGAAGATGCGGGGGACGCCGGAGGTACGTCGTCGTCGACGGAAAACGAGGTAAGTCGCCGTTAAAATTCACGGTTTACCGTAGGAGTGGCTCCGGCGCCTAGGATGGACGCCCTCACCGTAGCATGGACGTCCAAGCCAGACGCCAGAACCACCACACCGGCGTCCAGCCCAGACGCCCAGACAACCAGACTGGCGTCCTGGCCAGGCGCCACTCCACTGGCTGAGGCGGCCCTGCCAGGCGCCAGTCCAGTGGATGTGGCGGCCCTGGCAGACGCCACCTATATATATATATATATATATATATATATATATATATATATATATATATATATATATATTTTCTTTTTTGATTTTGTTGTTGTTTTTAATTTATTTATTTATTTATTTTTAAATCGAAAATGATTTTTTTTTAAAATTCGAAATGGGTTTTTTTAAAATTAATTTTGAAAATTCGAAATAGGTTTTTTTAAAATTAAGTTTGAAAATTCGAAATGGTATTTTTTTAAAATTTAGTTTGAAAATTCGAATTGGGTTTTTTTAAAAATTAAGTTTGATTGTTGAGAAAGGTTTTTTTTTTAAAATTAAGTTTGACAATTCGAAATTGTATTAAAAAAAAATTGGAAATGGTTTTTTTTTTTGTTGTTTTTAATTTATTTCAAATTGAAAATTCAAAACGGTGTTTTTTTTTAAATTATGTTTAATAATTTAATGTGTTTATGTATGTAGTGAGTAGATTTGTGTTAATGTATACCAAAATATTTAATTGTTTATGTGACTTTTATAAATGATTGTGTTTAAAATTTGTATGTGTATGTGTATGAATAATATTATACATAATTATGTTTTTTTTTGTGTTAATTATGTGTAAATATAGAAATTAAATGTATTATCCGTTAAATGTATTTATTATAATATATAATTGATGCAGGATTATGGTGGAGACGGAAATGATTACAGTGGGATATTTGGACATGATGGTCCATTCGAAGAAGCTCAACAAGCGATTGATTGGGCAAAACAGGTTGCAATTGCAGCTGGATTTTGCTTGGTAGTAGTAACTCAGAAATCTCAACGGGGTGGTAGAATGGATCGCATTTTGAGATGTGACCGTTATCGCAAAAGAGAAGAAAAAGATTTTCGTACAGCCACTCGGTTTGATACAAAGCGGAAAGGTTGTGGGTGTGAGTTCAGAGTAAAGGTCCGACAACTACGGAGTCGTGACGGTTGGGAAGTGATTGGTTACTCTAAATGGGGGTATCACAACCATGAGATGATAGTATATGAAGAGGGTCATCGACAGCTGAGCGGCTTAAGTCCTGCTGCGAAACTAGTTGTGAAAGAAATGAGTGATGCTCAAGTCAAGCCTGCTAAAATATTAGCATCTGTGTTAGAGAAATTTCCAGAAGACCATCCAAACCGAAGACACGTCTACAACGTCAGACAGCAACTCAGGTTTGAACGGTCAGAGGGAAGGAACCCTATACAGCAGCTGCTACACCAGGCACAATCACGTGGTTACCTGTTCTGGTTTGATTCTGATGAAGATACAGCGGAGGTGACTCATCTTTTCCTTGTGCATCCTGATTGTGCTGATATGATCAAGTCTTGGCCATTTGTGATTTTGATCGACTCAATGTACAAGACAAACAAGTACAAGTTCCCACTGGTTGAGATCATGGGGATGACTCCAACGAACCAGAACTTTCTGATTGGTCATGCAATCATCAAGGATGAGACGGCTCCAAGTTATTATTGGGTCTTGGAGAAGCTGAGAAACTACATCGGGCCTAATGTTCATCCAGCAGCCATCGTCAGCGACTGTGAGGGAGGTCTCTTTGCCCCCATAGCAGAGCTGTTTCCAGAATCGAAGCACTTATTGTGCACATGGCACATCAACAACTGCGTGAAAGTGAAAGCCTACAACCTTTTCAACAAGAATTTGGAAATGGCAGAGAGATTGGTGAATGGTAAGTGGCGGAAGATCCTACAGGCAACCACAGAGGAAGCGTACGAGCATGAATTGGCTAACTTCAGGGATTCGTACCAGCGGTGTCCGGCACTGGTGGACTATATGATGCAGCAATGGGTCCCTCACAGGGAAAAGTTTGTCAAATATTGGACAAACCAGGTACTTCATTTCAGGAACACTACAACATGTAGAGTTGAGAGCGCTCATAGAGCTACCAAGGACTGGATTGATTCATCGACCGCTGCTTTGGATACACTGTTCGATAGACTTGACAAGTCAATTGAAACTCAGAAGAACGGCATCAGGAACTCTCTAGAGAACTCCAGACGACGACATGGTACGATGTATAGCCATTTCATATTTAAGATTCTCCATGGTCGTGTGTCGCACTACTGCTTGGGGTTGATTCTCACTGAGCTGAATAGGATGAGGGACTTGGCTGACGAAGTGTATGCTCGGTGCGGGTGTGCTATTTCAGTAACTCATGGATTACCTTGCGCATGCACCATTCACCGCGTTATTACAGAAGAAAGGGCGTCGTTACATGTTGATCAGGTTCATTCATTCTGGCGGACGCTCGTTATTGGTGAGCATGCAGATACTCAAACGGCCGACCGTGAACAGGAGGAGTTGGAGCAGTTT